ACCTTCTCTTCATTGTACCATGTTGTAACCTATGTTTTTACAGATGCAGTTATTAGCGATGTTTATGTTGTGCAGCTTTGCATACAGATGCAACTCACAATTTTTCTTCTGGTGCTTATCTGAGTCTTAACCAGCACATAGAATGGCCCAGGATGATTTTTTTGGGTACAAAACATTGGCGGTAAGTGCACTGAAATTGTGTTGGATGTTATTAACATAATCTTCATTGTCATTAAACACTTGAAGATAGCTGTTGTTTTTAATGGGCTGGCCATTATTTTTAATAAATGCTTTATTTTTAATTTATAGGGTGTCAGCTCGTCTTTTGTTTGGATCCCAGCAGGGATTTGGTGGTTTAGGGGGTGGGGGCGGTTCTCCGTCCATAATTAAAACAAAATAATGTAATATTCCCTTTTTTAGTAACAAAAATGCGAACAACATAAACCGCAATTTATTTATTTATTGTTGTTCAAAAGAAAAATTGCGAAAAAAAACGAATAGAATAGAAAAGGCAGAGTAGCATCAACAAGGGTTGAGTAGCGACTGGTTGTATGCATGGTACAATGATATCAAGGTAGGGTATGATACCATATGATTTTAATTTTTTTATTTTCTTGGCTTAATATGTCATCTTTATTTGTTTATGTATGTGTTTTCTTTTCAATAACAAAAAAATTGTTCAGAAAACATTCAAATTCGGGTGTTTTTAAAAGGTTTTTTACAACGTATGCAGCGACAAAATCTAGAGTTTTTGTAGCGAAATAATCCTTTAGAGATATATAGTACATCATTTTGAAAAGAAGTGTTGACCTTTCATTCAGTTATCGCGTTTTTCAATTATTTATTCAAAATAAATGCAACAAGTTGTTTGATTTTTTATTGTTTTGATACTAATTCTGACATTACAAGCCAAAGAGGTAGTCCTCTATACTTGCAATTTTTTCAAAGTTGGCCTACCTTCTCTTCATTGTACCATGGTTGTATGCATGGAGTTTTGGGTTGACCATGGTTGTATGCATGGTACAATGAAGAGAAGGTAGGTCAACTTTGAAAAAATTGCAAGTATAGAGGACTACCTCTTTGGCTTGTAATGTCAGAATTAGTATCAAAACAATAAAAAATCAAACAACTTGTTGCATTTATTTTGAATAAATGATTGAAAAACGCGATAGCTGAATGAAAGGTCAAAACTTCTCTTCAAAATCATGTACTATATATCTCTAAAGGATTATTTCGCTACAAAAACTCTAGATTTTGTAGATGCATACATTGAAATAAACATTTTGAAAACACCAGAATTTGAATATTTTCTGAACAATTTTTTGTTATTGAAAAGAAAACACATACATAAACAAATAAAGATGATATATTAAGCCAAGAAAATAAAAAAATTGAAATCATATGGTAGTTCTGCCCTACCTTGAATTCATTGTATCATGGTTGTATGCATGTTGTAAGCAGCCTAACATATAGGCTTTAATGCTGATAACTGGTGTATTGCTTTGTACATGGTACAATAAAAAGATAAGGTAGATCTACCAGCTGATTACAATTTTTTTGTAAGTGTGCCCGACTTCAGCCGATTTTGTGTATGTATTTATTGTTTTGAAAATGAAAAAAAATATTTTCAAAACCAATGATTGGAGGGCACGTACATTGCGGCTCTCGCATTAAATCTATTAACCAGTTTAGCCATGAAATTGAAAGATTGAATAGTTTGGATCATATTTTTGATAGAAAATCCAGACATTTCATTAACTTTTCCCGCTACTTAACTCATTTTATAAATTAAATATATCAAAAAAAATTAAAACAAATTGTTGTATATAATTTTGAATGAGTCTGACAGGAAGCGGGCATAGTCTCAGGGCTGTTTTTCTGGAGTTTTACGAAGCTTTGTAGAGCATTTAAATTATTGAAGACTAAAGGGCTAAGTACATAAGAAGCTTGAAGTCATGGCTAGGCATATTAATGTCAAATTATAATGGAAAACGACGGCTGGATTTTAGTGCGGCTCTGTAATCCCTTTGTGAAATGTCACAAAATATGCCTAGCCATGACTTCAAGCTTCTTATGTACTTAGCCCTTAAGGCTAAAAAAAACATAAAACGCATATTTGGCTGGCTTAAGTCATCGGCTGGCATCTTCGTAAATAAACAAAGGAGTTTTAGGGTGGCCTAGTTCGATTTTGGCCCTAGGCTCCTTTGTTCATTTCTGAAGAAGCCAGCCGATGACTTAAGCCAGCCAAATATGCTCTTTATGTATTTCCAGCCTTAGGCTGGAAATGAACAAAGGAGCCTAGACCCAAAATCGAACTACGTCAACCTAAAACTCTTTTGTTCATCTACGAAGAAGCCAGCCGGTGACTTAAGCCAACGAAATATGCTCTTTATGTATTTCCAGCTTAAGGGTGCAAGTACATAAAAAGCTTGAAGTCAAGGCTAGGCATATTAATGTCAAGTTATAATGGACAACGACGGCAGGATTTTAGTGTGACTCTGTACTCCCTTTGTGAAATGTCACAAAATATGCCTAGCCATGACTTCAAGCTTTTTATGTACTTGCAGCTTAAAGGTGAGGGCACGGTAGAATGAAGGAGGCAATGTCATGCAATCATATGTTTACAATTTTTTCAAAATTATTCATTTGACAACATCTCATTGTCAAAATTTGTGTTTATAAATTCATTGTACATACACAAATCGGAGATGGGAACCAGTTTTTAAGTAGTGAAATGTGACAAGGTAAATTACAGAAAATGCAGAGTTGGCTAATTTGAAATGACTTTACCTTCTTAATTCTTCTATCGATGAGGGTACATAAGCAAATTGTAAAGGAAAACGACGGCAGAATTATAGTGCGGCTCTGGCATTCCTTTATGATATATCACAAAATATGCCATGCGAAAACTTCATGCTTATGTACTCACGCCTTAATTATTCCTTACTTTAGAAAAAGTAAAAGATAGAGTTTTCCATTATAGGGGTTTTAAACCCTCAGCCATATGGCTAGAGAGGGTATATATCATTTGATTTTACCCTCTGCCATATGGCTAGAGATGGTATATATTATTTGCTACGGCCAAAACGTGCCTCATCGAAATAACGGTTTTAGAGCCTAGGTCTCTCTAGACCAAATCCGTTTTAGGACATTTGGAGTCGATCTAGCGATGTTCGTCTGTCGGATTGTCTTACTACCTGGTGCGCATGATAATTCTCGAAGGAAGTATCCGATTTGATCCAAACTTGGTAAATCGTAATATTATTGTCAAACTTAGATCAAGTTGAAAGACGGGCAATATCGGTCACTCCTTTTGGTACCTCTCCCACAAAAGGTCGTTGTTTTCAAAAAAAGATGTTTTCCTGCACAGAATGGGAAAGAATAATCCGATATTGCTCTAACTTTGCAAATCCAAATATTTGCATCCGTGCTAAGGTGCGAAAATAGACTATATTGGTCAACTCCATCAAGTACTTCCCCCACAAAGTGTCAAAACTTTGAATAATTATAACTCTTTGAAAAATATATAACTGTAACAGTCCTATTCTCTACAAATGACACATATGACAATATTTTTATTAATCCAAGGTCTGGTGTGAAGATGGGATATATCGGTCCACTCCTTCTGATAACCCCCCCACAAAGAGTCAACATCTTGAATATCCATGAAGCTCATAAAATGCGAAATCAATATCCGATTTCATTCAGACTTGGTACACTCAATATTTCCATCAACACAAGATCTGTTATAAAAACGCTCAAAGAAAACGAAATAAGCATCCAAATCTCTTCAAATTTCACACATACAAACATTTTTGCTAACACAAAATCTAACTGAGAACCGCTTCTGGTATCTCACCAACATAGGGTCACGATTTTCAATTATTTTATCTGTCATAACTTGCGAAACAATTCAGCGATTCTTTACATATTGCCCTATCTAAATATTTCCCCAACGTGGAACCTGAGATGAATATGGAATTTATCGGAATTTATGATTTCGCATAAAATTGGATATAAATATTTGATTTTCTTGTAATTTTGCTCATACCAATATTTTTATCTGTATTAGATGAAGCATGGTAGAACTAAGAAGGTGAAGTCATGTAAATCAAAAATGGGAACTGTTTTAATGCATTGAAATCTGAGCAGTTAAATTACAGAAAATGCAGAGCTGGGAATTTTAATTTGAAATAAGGATACCTTTATTTCATTGTATCATGAGATAAGGTATGAAAATGGAATACTTCGGTCTCATATCAAGTGAAGGAAGCAGGCACATCGCAACATTTATATCATATTTATTTAGATTCGACAATATCGACCCAATGGACAATATTGAGGCATTCCTTCTGAACCTACTCCATAGAGGGTCAACAGAAGTTATAATATATTTAAATAGAAAATTGGCTCAGAGTGAACATCTGTCGGCAAAACCGACTGATGCTTTTTAATTTGGTATAATTACATTTTTCTGTTAAAATAAATGCATTTATTCAGAGATATGACAAACTTTATGTAAATACAACAGTAACTCACTGTATTTGTTCACAGTGGCATCTTTATTTTAAATTAATATTAATAAACAAAGTGCATTTGTAATTAATTTCGTGAAGGAAATCTTTAATTTAGTTCTTCAATATAAAATAAACGATTTGCGTTATCCATTTTTATTTGAATATATTTTGATGGTATTGCCATATTATCAATATAAAATATGGCCACATGTATTCAGTAAACTTTACGTTAAAACATAAAGGGAAGAAGGTCTGACTTTTTACTAATCGGACAGTTCATATTTAAATGAAACTTGTAATAACAAAAAACAATTTATGTGTCCGACAACATTATTTTTTATCTGTGTGGAAATATTTAATATGCTCAGCCCTCAGTGCTTTAAACGCTTGATATTGTACTACGTGTAAACGTAGTTTAAGTCCCGTTTGGGATCGGTTCAATTTGGATTTCGATTTACGTATCCCTATCCTTTGCTGTTTGTTTTGATTTCTCGATTTTTATTTGTCTTCGTTTTAGAGATGCCATATCGAGATGTGACATATTCGTTTTCTTATTCATCCCGTCCGTCTGTGATTGTTTGTGGGTTTCCATTGTCATAATTGATAACAAATGGCTCTGGTTGATGTTGATTCATGGTAATTGTCTCTTTTTTTACGTATGAACCATAATTCCTCACCAAAATCCTATTGATAGGTTAACGGAATATGAATCTTGTTCCCGATTAAATCACACTTTGCTGTCGCAGCTCAATGAGAGGGATGGCAAAATTCAATCTTCGCCAGATTATAATCGCTTGACACTATCCATACAAGTGGGTATTAAACAATTCGACCGAGAATTGCAGCAATTGAAATATGAACTGAATGGGGCGTCAAAAAATAAAACCATGTAAGTAGGAGAGAAGAATGCCCACGGTGTCTATGTGGATACCTCCCATTGAATTGATATCAATGTAAATTAGCAAACCACTATTTTTGGACGAATACATTACGTCTATACTACAACTATAGATGGCAAAGAAAAAGTTTTTTTATTCAAAAATCAAAGATTTTATAATGTTTTTATTGGCACATGATGAAAACAAGAAGGTGCCAAAAATAATGCGTCCAATCTTAAGACATTCCGCTTGCCGAGTAAAAAAAAATTAAGATTTTATGATATTGAACTACGTTCAGGTAAGCAGGAAGATATTGCCAGAGTATTCAACTTATTTAGAATCGGTAGTTTCGGCGTAGGTTAATTTAAAATAGGATATGAAACCTTTGAAATGCTGAGTGAAAGATGCACATATATCCCACCTCCATCTGAATAATGATTTTATTCGTTAAAAATCGATCATAAACATGAAACATTGACAGGTGTATATTTCTTTAGGACATAAAACGACAAATTGCAATAAATTTCTTGGAAACTGTTTCTAAATATTTTAGAACCGAAGGGGGTTACAGCTCAAAATACAATAGACGGACAGACGGACATAGCTAAATCGACTCCAAATGTCCTGAAACGGATTTGGTCCAAAGAGACCTAGGGTCTAAAACCGTTATTTCGACAAGGCACGTTTTGGACGTATCAAATGATACATACCCTCTCTAGGCATATGGTATAATGACTTCTTTATAGAAAAAAAAACTCGTAACGTTAAAAAAATAATTTACAGAACATTTGAAGAAATCGAACGACGACAGCGCCTATTGGACGCGTTACAATCCCAACGTCAGATTTTGCAAAATAAATACACTAATACCACACGAAATGATCGTGCCGCATTGTTGGAAAGCAATTGGCCGTCAACATCTGCTACTAGAGATGTGGCCGACACTGCCGACGAAGATTCAGCAGCCATAATCGATGTTGAACGATTGAAGCAGGCGCAAATAGATATGATGGAACAACAAAATCAAGGTTTAGAAACTCTATCACAGACCTTAGCACGCCAGAGAGCATTAGCCACACAGCTGGGCCAAGAAGTTGAAGACCAAAATGGTAGGAAGCCTCTTGCACGAATAGCAATTCGATTATTAACAAATGTTCCTATTTTAATTGCAGACATTTTGGACAATTTGGCCAATACCATTGAACGAGTCGATACTGGTGTTAATAGAGAGACGCGAAGCATATCATTAATAAATCGAAGTGATAGCAACACTTGTGGTAAGACGTGCACAGACATGTGTAATAATCTTTCTAATTAGTTAATTCTTTGCAGGTTATTGGGTCGTTATTATAGTTCTGTTTGTAGCCATAGTTATTGTTGCCTTGTGGTAAAATAATATAACTTAGATCTAAGCGTATTCGTAATGTCTGTATAACAATATTTTTTTTTTTATAAAATAATGATGTTGAACTATCCAAAGAAGATGTATTGTTGTTTTATATATATACATAATGCTGATCAAAATACACTCTTACTAAATATATAACCATCAAAATGTTTTCTTTGGTTATACAGGTAGGTAGGTATTTTTATGACATATAAAATTTCAAATGGACGCGTCTAGGTATTTTTGCTAATCTGCCTCTAGCTTTAACTCCAAATTTTGAAATGTATTGGATGTGTCTTTGAATCTTTCGAATAAGATTGCAACGGATATAACATTGCTACAGAAGAGTTTAAGGTGATGTGGCTTGGAAATTACCTTTAGGGTCTCTGCCGACTGTCTCACTGATCGTCCCAAAATATGCTAATTGTAGTATTTAGAAATCAACTCTTACGAAGGGAGTTTTTGATAAAACTTCACCGCAATTCACATAATCATATGCCTTCTTAGAAAAAATAACAATTTTCTTCGTTTGTGTTGTAATATTTATTTTATTTGGGTTCGTTCTCTAAAGAACATTTAATCTTTCAATCATTATCTTCCGTTTATCACTAAATCGATCGTTTTCAAACTTCACTAAATAGTATTGAGGGGTTCTATGTGAATGTAAGTGACTTTTACAAATTACAGCATTTTCAAATTGTTTTTGTTTATTGCATTTTCTTTCGGCCCCTTCAACCTTTGTTTTATATTTGTTTGGTATTAACAATAAGTTTATGTATTATGAAAAAGATGCGTGTTTTCTAAATTTAAGCTAAATCAGAGGCATATGGGACATTGGCCAAATTACCGACAGCGCCCACAGACAATTTGGAGGAACCAGCCTTCTTGGCAGCAGCTTGAACATCTTGTTGGGAAACACCATCAATGGCAGCAACGAGAGCATCGGCGCTCTGGACACCCTTTGTGAGGACAGCTTGCAAGCCCATTTCAGCTACTAACGAACTATCGGTGGCATAAGCCTCCAAAACAGCAGCCTTAAGCAAGGCTTTGCCGCGGTTCACATCATCGGAGGACACTGTGCCAGACTTGAGAGTACGAGCGAGAGCATCAACAGCTTTGCCAACATTTTGGGCATCGGTAGAGACGACGAAACCGAAGAGACCGGCATCAGAGTAGCTGGCATTCAAAGCAGAGAAGCAAGCCTTGGCATCACCTACTGCTGAGGAAAGAGCCTTGCCGAATGGTCCATTAACGGCACCACGTTTTGTAGCTGGGCCACTGCCAATGGCAAACTGCAAAACGGCGAAAGCCAAAGCTTCTTTGGGATTGCTTACAGCACCACCTTGACCAGCAACAGCGACATGAGCTACATTGCCGGGGGTATCCTTGCGGGCATCACCACCATAATAGTTGGCACCAGAGCTTGATTTGCCACCAGTGGGCAATTCCAAACTTTGGGCAAATCCAACCAAAGCATTGTGGTCTACACCCACACCTACAACAGCACAACGACCAGCAGTGAAGTTGTTAGCAACATAATGCAACATAGTTTCGCTGGACAATTTGCCAATTTGGAACTTGGGGATGTACACTGAGTTGCCCAAGCCAGTACGGAAAGCAGCTTTGTGCAACAATTCAACAGCTTGGACCTGAGACGAAGAAATTTTTCGGTAAAATCACAACTTCACTTAAATCCCATCTCAAAGTACACTTCAAAATATTCTTACCTGTGGTGGGACAGTTGCAACTTGATTTTTAATGAATGGTACGCTGTCAGACAATTCCCATGGTTTGAAAGCGGGTTGAATAACATCTTGCAAGTAGTGCAAGCCAACTTCTACGTTGTTGGCAGTAGTTTCGACAGTGTAGGCAACAACTTCACGATCAGATGTAACAGTCAAGTTACCACCGACTTGCTGGATATTGCGGGTAAGGGCGAAACCAGTAGAATTCTTATTGGTCAAACCGCCAGCAACACGCAACAAATGTGTGGCACCTTGGGTCTCATATGTTTCATTGCGGGAACCAGCTCTGAATTAATAAAAATAATACCATTATTTATTCTTAAATACTGACGCTTCAACTAGAGAGCCTCACCCGAAAACCACGGAAACACGAGTGACAGGCAATTGAGCCTCAGCGGTGGCTACAACAACTTTGTTGTCAAGTTGTTTAGTTTGGACAGCAGCAGCTTCACCAACTGGTCTGGGACAGGCAGCGGCGTATCCACGTTTCTAGTGGGGAACATAAAAATAGGCATTGTAATTGTTGTAAAATCCAAACCAAGAGTTTTTTCTTTTATGGTTACGTTTTGGCTATTTACGTAACCATGCTTATACACGATTTGTCACTCAGAACTTCCGATATTTCAATATTTCCACATTGGCAGTTGTTACTTACAGCAATAACACGCAACAAGGGAACTTTGCTAGCGTTGGAAGCCATTTCAATGAACTTTAATTGATCGCTTTAGTTTTTCAAGGAAAAGGAGCAGACAAGTTAAATTCCCCCTCTGAAGAAAATTTCAATTTTTTCTCCACCACTCTTCTCGTTTCTGACAGACAGTACTGACAATATAGTGGAAAAAATGTAGCCAAAAATGACAGCTGTTTGGTATCAACAAAAATAAAAAACGTTCCAATTTAAAGTGAAATTAACCCCGCATTTACAAGTGGTCTGTTCCAGAACTGCAAGAATGTGCAAGTTTTTACTACGATAACGGATTTCTCTTTATGATATCGAAGAAAATGGCAAAAGTATTAGATTCTTGCAGTTACTGGAACAAATCAATAGATATCAAAATTTGTCTTTGTCGCGTAGGCGTCCCGACAATTGCAAGAATCTACAGTCGCATTGACGCATCTGGTGACACTTTAAATTGTAAAAATATTTTTGGAATTCAAAATTTTGAATATAAAATAATGATGTTGAACTATCCAAAGATGTATTGTTGTTTTATATATATACATAATGCTGATCAAAATACTCAAATACTCAATGAATGAAAATTTACTCAATTTAGTTTAATTGTGGAAAAAGAATACTATAACGTAAAAATGGCTTCGCATAAGAAGACATTTAAAAATCCATTAAGTTTCGCAAAAATTGTTTTCAATATTTTAGACATGTTGACAATGCATGCATGATAATGTTCAAGTGCTGGTGCATTTACATGTCATTAAACAATGAGGAGGTCTGGTTTTGTAATAAATACTATAAAAACACAACCCCAATACCATGCTTGTTTTCTGTCAGAATTATTCAAAACGACATTCAACAAATGTTTCTCAGTTTATTTATGTACATTTTATTTTTTTTATATTATTTTAAAAACAATTGTGAAACTAATATATAGTCTGTTCCAGAACCTTCAAGAATCTACTAGTTTTGCAATTTTTTCAATATCAATTTTTTCAATCAAATCGTTTATCGTAGTAAAAACTTTTACATTATTACAATTCCAGAACAGATCAATTTATTGTAGAGCGTGCATAGAATTTAACCAGATTGACTATGGGATTGAATAATGAAACAGTTTAAATCACGTTTATGAAAGAAAATAATGGCATTTCAATATTTTTTTTTTCTGTTCCTGAACTGCAAGAGCGTACAAGTTTTTACTACTATAACCGATTTTCCCTTTACGATATCGAAGAAAATTGTCAAAATAGTGCATTCTTGCAAGTACTGGGGCTGGATTCTTGTTCTATGAAAATATGAAATGAAAAATAATTCCTTTATAAAATTCAAAGTGTCAAATAGACTTTTAAATATGCAACAGTAGACATTGTTTATTTTTAATTTTTTTAACAAAATGCTTATATTGGGAAAAACCCGCGAAACAAGAATGGAATTTCGGGGTTATTACAAAAGATTGATTCTAAAATAGTAGGGCAATACAGTTTTATAACAAAATTGTACAATTTCATTTCATTTATTTCATTTATTTACCTTACAAAGAAATATAAATAAGCCCACAGGGCCCATAACTTATATTATCTATCTACAATACCCTAACATAATACAAATTCAATGATTAATTCAAACTTAACAAATAACATATTAAACCTATAATTTATCTTAATAATTCACAAGAAGCTCGAACCCTACACCTCGATTCACCATCACCAACTAAACAATAGTCTAGTAGAGCAGTGAAAAAGTGTAGCAGAAACGAGCTAAAAATAAGAGAGAACTATTTTATTACTCACAAAACAGAGTATAAATAGTAACTCACATTATACCCTACAAATAAAATTAAGAAGATAATATAGTGGCTCCCCAGCCCAAACAAAAAGAAAAGCAAAAAGAAAAACCCATAATAAACCGACGCAACCACTACAAAAACATAGCCTACATATTTAGGCGAAGGTATTCAATTACTTTAACCCTAAACAGATAATTGGTATGGGCAAAAGTACGTAAGGCCAAAGGAAGCTGATTCCACAATCTCACCGCCCTAACCACAAATGATCTCTCACCAATGGAGGACGAAAACCTTGGACACAACAATTGAGGATTTCGAGATGATCTACAAAACACAAAGTTGTCACGAAGAGGCGAGTCAAAATTGCACATAACACTGTAATGAAATTGAAGAATACGAAGATCAACGTAGCTGCTAAATGGCAATCCCAGGAGATCATTAACAAAACAAGAAACATGATCACCACGACGCAAGCCATACACATAACGAACAATCGAATTTACCGCCCTACGGATACGTTGCATTTGAGAAGAAGTAGTACCGGAGACTACCTCTAGACAATAATTTACCTGCGATAGCAGCAAGGATACAACCACTCTCTTCCTAACATGACAAGGCAAATAAGCATTAAGACAATACAGCCTCCGCAGCTGAAACCTTATGCGACAAAGCAAGGAATCAATGTGTCTCTTAAAGTCCAACTTCCGATCAATTATAATACCAAGACATTTCATTTCATCAACAAATTTCACTAACACAGAACCCACAGTAATATTAAGAGAACCACCATTACCATGATCATTGAACAGCATAGCTTTAGTTTTATTCCAATTAATCATAAGGCCATTTAGCGAAATCCACGACGAAAGAGACAAAACAATAGAATTAACCAACCCTTCCAACCCAATTTGTTACGTATTTCTTTGAAAAATTGCATCAAACACCGGAAAAAATGAATGAAATGCCTGAATTTTCTTCCAAAAGTGGGCAAACAGAAAAAATTGTATTGAGTTTTGCCTTGTTAAGGCGAAGATCATATGTTTTATGATTTATGTGTTTGTTTTTCTCTTTCGAGACGAGCTTAATGATCTGAAATTTGCAGTGAAAAGGAAAGCCAGATAGACACTATCACACACTCACCACTATGCGACGCGTTTCGCCGTTGGTTAAGCGGCTCATCAGGCATATTTGGTGTGGGATGATGGCTTACAAGGGCCGTTCTCTGGAAAGTAGTATATATTTCGAACTTATTGCAAATTAGCATATGCGAATTATACACTAGAAACTCTCCAGGTTCGACTCAAGTTCTATTGGCAGATCTTTTTCACAGCAAAGTTTTGTTTTTTGTAAAATTGTAATTAGCTGGTTGCTCTACCTTACCTTTGTTATTGTACCACGCTTGTGACTGACAAACTTATTCTATGGTGTGTGCCAAAAGTCGACTTACTCGTCCCTAGTGCTTACTTTATTTGTAAACAAACAAACAGAATCAAGTTTATATTAGATAAATTGATTTAATAATAATTCAATTTATATTTAATTATTAATGGTACACAATGACATATACCAGTTTGAATAAAGAGCAAAGATATCGTTTGATTGAACTAGTTAAGGAGAGGCCAGTTTTGTACGATAAAAGTCATAGACTATTCAGGAGTGTTAAAGAAAAAGAATATCGTTGGAGGGAAATTGCAAAAATGTGTAACAAATCAGGTAGGTAATATACAAGGTAGCAATTTGTTGCAACAAAAAACTGTTTCTGCAATAATACGTCAAAATTATTCCACACAACTTGCAGAGAAAATTTGCCGGTGAACCACTTTTTTAAATAATTCCGGTTATGAACAATATTTAAATATTTTTCTTATTAAAATTTAAATATTCATACACATTTTTTATTTATTTTTTATTGTTCCAGAACTTGCATGCAAGAAGGCTTGGAAAACGCTACGGGACCAATATCATCGTTTTATGCGAATGCCACATGAAAAACGACGGAAGTATAGATATTTAAATGAGCTATCATTTCTGGGAAACGATCAACAGTAAGTTTCCACTAAACCGCATTGTTGAATTCATTTAAAAACCAATAATCCCATTTAAAATTTTTATTTATTTAATTGTGTATTTGCAACTCTATGTTCTTTCTATTCTAAATTTCCATTTGTTTCATTTGTAATTCGTTTTTTATTCGGATTTCGAAGCATTTCTCAGCAATAGGTCTGTTTGATAACTTAATAATTTTTATTTATTAAATTTTCTCAGTAATAGTTTGTAAACTTTCAATAATGTAAATTACATTGCCAATTGACTTTTATTTACTGGACTTTGGGTTATCGAGCATTTTGTAATAATTTGTACAAATTATTGGATTATCCTATAAACCCAAATCTCGCTCGTGTAGTGTAAGCTTAAATATCGTGTGACAATTTTTTCAATCAACAGCCAAATTTGTATGTCATGACAAAAATGTTCCTGCATTTTATTTTTAATCTCTTGTATTTTTTTCCCATGGTAAACGCATTTCCAAAGTAGGGCATAGAAATCGCCTGAATACAATATTTTCTTTTCGTAGTCTTGTTATGTCATTAAATATGTAATAATGAATTTTGAATTTGGACTAAATTTTTACGTTTATGTTTTAGAAAATTTCGCAACAGACACGAACATGGTCTGATGGAGCTTTTTTCCGATTCCAGTGATTACAGCGATGATATTGAACCCAAATCCACCGGTAAAATATATGTTACTGAATCAACATTCAACAAACCGGAAAACGGATTCGAACATGAAGAAGATACTCTACAATCTCAGTTTTCGGAAATTGATCATTTTATTTATAGTAAAAGTTCAGACCAAAGAATTTCCTCGGCTCTGCTCAGTACATTTAATGATCTACTGAACAAACGATATGAGCTGCAAGAGGATGAAAATGATATATTTTTTCGTATGCTTGCAAAAAAGATGAAAAATCTACCTGAAGATGTTAAACACCGATTACAAGAGTGTTTCCTCGAGCAGATAAATCAGGAAACAGATCATATACAACAATGTTGAAGAAATCATAAAAAAGTAATCAAATATCCTTAGAAATGAGAAGCTAATGTAACTGTAAGAAAAGTAATAAGTTTTTATACACAATAACCAAATTTATTACCAACAAATAGGAATTGTCAATGAAATCCAATTAAAGCTAAAACGAAGAAAAAAGTTTTCTGAATAAAACTTTTCTTAAAGCAAAGAAATTTGTATTTTTGGATGTTTTAACTATGTACAAGACTAGTTAGTTAAAAACATTCGTTGGAATAATACAATTGCATCTTTTATACAGGGTATTATGTCTTTGTGCATTTGTTTGTAAAATGACTATTAATTTTTTGTAAAACTTACAATGACTGTGTTTTCCTACATTAGACTTGCTATTTTTACGGGGTTTTATGAGACATTTCCCATAACCAAAGAATCTGGTAACATTTATATGCAATTTCTAGTAAAACTAAGCGTTGCTAAGACATGTAAATATCGGTGAACTTAATTCTTTATTAAAAATCTTAAATCGTATGCAAAATTAATTATGAAAGTTTTCTTCTTTTATTCCGTTGTATCTCATTATTCGTTATTTCATAATTTACTTGTTCCAAAAAACTTTCTTGTAAACGATTTCTTACCAAATTTGGTAAAGTTTTCATCTTTTTCGCCAGCATTTTCATAAATAAATCGTTGTCATCCTCATTTGATTGGTAACGTTTATTGATCAAATTATTAAAGGTATCAAATAACGTGCTTGCCATATTCTCAATGTTATAATCTGGATCCTCTTTGCCTTCTTTTATATAAATATATTCCTCTTCCTCGTGCGGGGATAATGGAACTGATAATTTGTCATCAATTTTTTCAATATTGTTTGCTGAAGATTTTGTATTCGGCTCATCGAGCTTGGATATGTTTTCTGCAGGTTCTATTGTTGTTGTTGTTTCATTATAGTCTCCATAGTCTGTGCTGTCATCGTATTCCAATTCATGTTTGGGTGTATTTGATGTATTGTCATAGTAATACTCAGATGTAAAGTCATCCATCGAAAGAGATGATGAATTTCTAAATGCCCTAAAAACAAGATGTTAAACCACTGTTAAAAATATATATTAATTATTAATAATAAAAATTAACAATTTACTTGGTTTTCCCATTTAAAAAGGACATTTTTGGCAAATATCGAAAATTTTTCCTCTTTTCTTTTGGCAGCTTCATATTCCGTTGATATTGATCTCGCATAGATTTCCAAGCAACTTTGCAAGCATTAACTAAAAGACAAAATTAATATTTGTTTGATGATTTAAAAAAAAATAGAACATCTTTTACCCTGTGCCCGAACTCTTCTGGCCACATCTTGCCAAGCCAGTTCCTTCTCCGTAACGTTCTTATATCCTTCATTGCTCTTGTCATACAAGATAGGCCTTTCCTGTATCAATTGCAACAGTTGGAACCGTTGATCTTCGGTAAGGCTATCGTACGTCATGTTTTGAAAATTGATATTTCCAAAAGTCGAATTTTCTAAGCTATTCAGGAGCGGAAAACGCTTTGTCGTATTTACGTTTTACGTTGATTCGGTCTTACGAACTTCTTTGATGGGCGTAACAGATTTAGAAAATGCCAATCAGCAGAGCGCCAAATAGCAATGCAATCACTAAGAATCTTACAAATTTATTGATACACCTACTGTTTTTGCTGAATAATATTAAATTTGATAATAATTTTGTTGATCGATTTGTTTGGAATTTTTAATGACGCGTAATTATTTACATATGTTTTCACAAAAGATGAATTGAAATGTCAGAGTTTGCATTAGTAACTGAAGAACGGCGTCAAAATATTTAAACCGGCGGCCATATACAAACAATTTTTCAGCGTATTATGGTTAAAACATAAGTATTTCTCTTAAAATTTGAAATTGTTTAAATTCGAATGCTTAAACAAATGTAATGTTATGAAGTCGGAAAAACTAAATAGCATGCATTGAAAAAGAATACAAGTAGTGGCATTGTCGCAGATGTTGGGACAATGAACTGTCAAACAAATTTTGAAATTGAAAAGTTTAAATAAAAAATTATTCATATTTGTGAAAATTGTTGAAAAATGCATATCATAACAATTTCTGATTGGTGTCGTATAAGAAAACTTATAAAAATCTACGTATTTTAGAAAAAACATTTTAAATTTTTTGACATATCAATATTTCCAAGCGTTGATGCATCTGTATTCTTCTACCATGATAGCATCGCATTTTTATACTAAGTCCACATGGTAAGGTAAGAAAACATAAAACGCTTTTTTGGCTGACTTTAGTCATCGGCTGGCTTCTTCGTAGAGAAACAAAGGAGTTTTAGTTTGACTTAGTTGGATTTTACCGAAGAAGCCAGCCGTTGACTTAAGCCAGTCAAAAAAGCGTTTTATGTATTTTCACCCTTAATTCATCGGCTGACTTCTTCATAATAGAACAAAGGAGCTTTAGGTTGACTTAGTTAAATTTTGTAACTTACTTAATTTGTACTTTTTCACCCTAGCTCCTTTGTTCTTTTGCGAAGAAGACAGCCGATGACCTCAGCCAGTAAAAGAATGTTTCTATTTATTTGCAAATTTTGTTGTTCGACCCCTAGTTGGTTGCACACCGTGGTCCATGGTTGCAATCCCAGCGGGGCTCAACTAAATTTTCAATTCAATTAACTATCTAGTTGGTTCAGTTGATCTGTTCCAGCAATACAAGAATGTAAAAATTTTTACTACGATTACCGAGTTTCCCTTTATGGCATCAAAATAAAAAATTGCGAGAGTTCGCATGGCACGTATTCGCTCTCTATTCATTGTTCGACCATTGATTATAATATATCTACCTAATTCTCCACATAAAATTAGCTGAACGAACAACTATTTTTGTTCTTAGTTTCATTTAAATCACTTTCAGAACTATGATAAAAAGTGTGCCATCCCTAATAAATGAGAGCATTTATCGAAAAAATAAATTCTGACATTTAAAAATGCTAAATAGAAAACATTTTATAAAATTTTAAAAATCTCCAGGAAGAATGAAAATCATCAATGAAAAATATAATGTTTATGGCGTATGTACATTCAAACGAAAGCAAATTTGGTTTTTCTCCCTCTCGAGGTAGGCGTTTTGTCCAAGAGTGGGAATTTTCGCAGAAAGCTGAAAACAAAAGAGGCACTATTTTTAATTTTTTTTTTTTTTTGCATCGACAAAAAATTGACAGTTATTTCTCCAGCAGAATTAAAAAACACAAAAATTTGTTTTAAAATGGCAACATTTACATGAATGAAAATGTAAAATTATTGATAATATAAAAATAATATATAAGATAAATAAATATTAATGCGAATTTCACATGTTTTCATACAAATTCCCATTAACCTAATGCTAAGTTCACATGGCATGTGATTCGCTCCCTATTCCTTGTTCGACCATTTATTAGGAAATATATACTTAATTTCCCAAACAAAATTTGCTGAGCGAACAAAGATTCTTGTTCTTTGTTCCATTCAAATCACTCTCATAACTAAGATGAAATGTGTGCCATCCCTAACAAATGAGAGCATTTATCGAAAAAAATAAATACGACATTTAAAAATTCAAATAGAAAAATTTAATGAAATTTTATGTACATTCAAAAGAAAGTAAATTTTGTTTTCTCTCTCATCCGAGGTACGCATTTTGTCCACGAGTTAAAATTTACACAGAAATCTGGAAACAAAAAGAGCAATATTTTCAAAATGTTTATATCGGCAGAAAAAATGTTTGACAAGTGTCTCTACAGCAGAATTTAAAAATAGAAAAATACAAAAATATGTAAAATGTCAACATTCACACAAAAAGTTGAAAACATGAATGAAAACTGTAAAATAATGATATAATAAATCTTTGGGAGAAAAGCAATATTTTCTTCTATTCATATTAGTGAGAATTGAATGTATTTTCGTATAAATTCCTATTAAAATCAATAAACAAAATTTTTGAAAAAAGGAATTATTTTACTATGAAATGCGAATAGTGCCGTATGAACGAGTTAATTCGTGTACCTTATTCTGAGGGCGAACAACGTGATTGAAAGTGCCATGATAACATATCATATTTCCCGAGTGAGTACAACGTAATGGAAATTGCAATGAGAACATGACATAAATGTTTTACAAAAACAGTAGATTATCGATAACGTGATAAAACTACAAAAACATGCATCTATACGATTAGTATATTATCGATTAGCTTATCTAAAGAAAGAAGAAGAAGCTATTGTTTTTCATTCGTTTATATTAACACGTGCACTCGCATCTAACTAATTTCATTTATATTATATTCTATATAAAAATGGGCAAGAAATTCCAGAAGAAAAGAAAAACGGAACAATTAGAAATAGTTCCAATGGATGAAAATCCTCCATTACCACCGCAACGGCCTTCCGATGAGGTTATTCCAAAAAGGGTATGTATAGCAACATTTGTTGTTTGGAACAAAACTTATTTTTTTCATTCTAATGCAGGAAAAATGGATAAATAAACAGAGAGTATTAGTGTTTGCTGCTCGCGGTATCAGCCATCGTGATAGACATTTAATGAAAGATATCAAAACCCTTATGCCCCATCATAGACCCGAGTCAAAAATGGAGCGAACAAAAACATTGGCTACTGTCAACGATATGTGCGAAATGAAGCATTGCAACAAATCTATATTGTTCGAAGGACGCCGCAAACGTGATCTTTACATGTGGGTATCGAATATACCTAACGGACCGTCGGCTAAATTCTTGGTAGAGAACATTCATACTATGGCTGAATTAAAAATGACCGGAAATTGTCTGAGGGGTTCTAGACCACTCTTGTCGTTTGACTCAAAATTTGATGAAGTGCCACATTTGAAATTGCTTAAGGAACTGTTTACACAAACCTTCGGTGTTCCTAATCATCATCCCAAAAGTCAACCGTTTATTGACCATGTATACAGCTTTACTTATTTGGATAGAAGAATATGGTTTAGAAATTTCCAAATTCTTTCCGAAGATGGTGGTTTGGCAGAGATTGGACCACGATTTGTCATGAATCCTGTAAAAATCTTTGAAGGGTCCTTCACAGGTGGCGCTTTATGGGAAAATCCAGACTACGTCAGTCCGGCCAAGCAACGGCAGATGCTAAAGAAAGCTGCAAAAGAACGCTATGTAAATCGTATCGAGCAAAAGGTACACCACGAAGCCACATTGCCAACCAAAGCTTACGAAGGAGTTGAGTATGACGATATTTTCGAGGATAGGGACGCATTCGAAACGGCTAAAGTTCTGGCCGAACAAGCTAAAAAGAAGGCACTGCAAATACAAGAAAAGGCAAAGAAAACTCCAAAGGACAAGTTGACTAAAAAAATAAAGGAGAAACAATTGGAAGCCGTTAAGCAAGTTATCGAAAAGAAGAAGGAGAAAGCAAATAAAGTTGGCAAGAAGAAAGCTTAGTTGTAAAAATAAAGTTTTAAAATATACTTAAATTTATAGTGCTTTTTTAATATGACACACGTTTATACCATTTATTTTCTGAAGAAGCGATTTCGCTTAACTAATTTATCTCCTTTTTCTACCCTCCACCATTCTATGGAGGGTATATTAGCTTTGTCATTCCGTTTGTAACTCCTCGAAATATTCATGAAAGACCCTAAAAAGCATATATATTCTGGATCAGCGTAAAATTCTAAAACAACTCATCGATGTCCGTCTGTCTGTTGTAATCACGCTATCTTTCGAACGAACGAATTTGCCAGTAGGTAGGTCAAGTTCGTAAATGGACCATGCGGTCCAAGTCTTCGTATAGCCCCCATGTAATGGTACCTTCCTTTATTCGGTATTATGATGATTTTAGCGACATTATTCACCGCAATTATTTTCAATTTCGTATTCAAAGTTCGTAACGGGTAACGGGTCTTCGTATAACCTCCATAAAATGGTAGTCATTTAATTGGAATTTTTAGAATTTTTTCAAGTTCCTTCCAGATGGTGAAGTGTGTTAAAATATCGGCCCGGCCGAACTTAGCTGCTTTTGAACTTGTTTCTTTTCTTTTCCGTCTGATGGGAGCCTCAAATAGATTTGGTTGTCAAAAGTCTATCAGACATGTGATGAAAACCGATTAGTTTTGTGAAGTCGGAATTTGATATATTTTAGCGGCCTTTCATAGTACATTGATGTTTCTTTGGCAGAATGGTTATGAGATTCTATTTCCAAAATTCAATAAAAAGATTAATGACATTTGAGATATTATAAGTCGATTCATGTCGGAATGGTTTCAACACATTCCTGAATATAACAACCATTGATCTATGTGTATAAAAAACGGTCTGTTTCAAAAAAAATTAAATGTGAAAATGTTAAGGTTCACTTTGGTCTACATTGTTTAGAATACAATTGGTTCCTTTTTATTACAGAAAATAGTTTTGCTTTGTCATGTCTTCAAATTTGAAACGATTTATACACTACAATATTTTAAATCAGAAAACTCCTGTTCATTTTCGTAACGGTTTCATGCTTAGAAGCCATATACTTTTCACTTGGGTGATATTTTTTGTTTGTTTGTATTTTTCGGTGTAGTAGCATTTTTATATTGATGTCTTTTTGTCGAATTCCACACATTGTCTAATATTTTAGGTATTTCTTTTAGAGCCACCAAATCCCGAAAAGCCCATTATGGCTGCCATATTATCATCAGTTAAAGCAATTCCATCCAAGTCTTCCTCGGCTTTACGTTTGCGCTCCTTTCGCTTTTCTTTACGATGTTCCTTATAGCGCTCTTCCTCCTCTTTTGCTTCTCTAAGGCGCTTCTCAAGTTCATAGTCTTTCTGTTTCTCTTCCATTTTCTTTTTGTTCGCCTGAAATCTTTCTTTTACTTGGTCCACAGTACTGCGTTCAACTTTCATAGACATTCCTAGATTTCGCTGATGTTTCTTTCCATTGATATGGTCAAGGAAATTAATGGAATCTTTAACCACGCAATCGCAAACATTGCAGTAATATCCACCAGATTGCGAGTTCGGTGTGTTCTTATTTATAACAACGCTTTTCCCCAATTTGCTATCCAAATCCACTTTATAGTCTCTGCGTTTGAGGTTCTCCCTTTGGACTGGTTCTGCGAAAAAAAAACATAGGATATCATTCAATTCCGTAGGATAATGGAATAGTCACCTTCTTCATTTTTGTCATTTGCTTGACTTTGCAATCTTTCCTGAGCCTTTTTTTGGAATTCAGCTTTATCCCACTTCCTGCGATGGTCATCTGGCCGCATCGACATTTTAATTAATAATAAATTCTTTTAGTTCAATTATTTTAAATAATGTTAATTAATAAATGTGTAAATAAAAGGATGTATCGTTTAGAAACAAACAATTCAATTGCATTATTCACTAAAACAACGTGAGCTAGTTCAAACATATATGATATTATTCATGGTACAATAAAAAGGTAGGATAAGCTACCAGCTATTAAAAAGATTAGCCATGAAATTGAAAGATACAATTAATGTTGTTGAAAAAGGAAAGAACCGAAAAATTAAAGGAACAAGATTGTAATCTTTTTACTACGATAACCGGTTTTTCCTTTATGAAATCGAAAAAAAAAACTGTAAAACTAATAGGTTCTTGCCATGGGACAATAAAACCAGCAGCCATTAATCAATTTTTAATTTTTGTTTGTTTGGCTTAACATTTCAAATTTACTTGTGTATGTGTTGGTCTGTTCCAGAACTGCAAGAATGTAAAACCGACAACCGATTTTCCCTTTATATCGAAAAAAAAACTACAAAACTAGTAGATTCTTGAGGCCTCTTTAGTTACAACATTCCCCAACTTATCCTACTTTGTCTTTGTTGTACCATGGTTCTTGCAGGTTCTGAAACAGAGCAATTGAAACAAATTTTATTGCAGATTAATAGGAGAGCTACTGTCGTATGAACATAGGTTAAGAGTAAAAAATCGATTAATTGCAATTATTTGTTTTCGATTATTCCACATGCCGAAAGTAGATTTAGAATGCCCTTATATTTGGTTTTATGTTTATTTACTAGTAGGAGTGGAGTTGTAGTAGGTTGCGAATTACTGAATGAATTACTGCGATGAACTAAGCAATACCACCTGAAGCAAAGATTTATTTTAAATGTGTTGTGTCGGCATAATTACATATGTATGTGTATTAAAGTAAAAAGTTCAAAAAATAACAAACACATTAAGAAAAATAATTAAATATGGGCTGTGCCGCTAGTACAGAAAGTGATGAACCACAACCAAATCGTCCGAAATATCGAACATGTACGGACACTTTTTGGCTTGCTGTATATATTTTGTTTTGGCTATTTTTGGTAAGTTCAGGCCACAATTTGGACACTTGTAGATTTACCTAAAAACCATTGCATAAATCTATATAATTAAAGATTTTGTAACAATGATCACACAAACGTAAACAAGTTCGCGTTAGAGTGAAAGTAACATTTAAAAAACCTAATGACGAGTCAATTGAGTGAATGGAGATGGATGGCGTCATTAGATACTCTCCTATTTCTCAGATACAAAATCTACTAGATAAAATATTTGTGGTTGTTTGTTTTGAATTTTAGAGCAGAGCAAAAAACTGAATCAAAAAAAAAAAAAAAAATATATGTTGTTTTTAAATATAGTACTTTTGTACTTAGTCATTTAATTGAATGAATAATGTAAATTAAAAAATGCGTTTATAAGAAAACCATGGGCGTATCCAAGAAAAGGTAATAATGCTTCATTTATCTTACGGAATAACTTAGGAACACATGAACATCCATGTCTTCAATTATTTCCATACTATCGATTATATTACATATTAGCACCAGTATTATTAAGGAGTGTCTATTTGCTGCATTTGGAATTATTAGCATACCTATTATATAAAATTATGTGGCTTTTGATTTTATTTATAGAAGACAAATGTGATGGCTAAATATAATCTAAGTAAAAAATTTAATACATATCCAAACAAAAATATTCATAAAATGAATTGCTACCAACCAGCGACCTACGCAGAAATGAATAACGAGATCATTTCGGAGGGTCAACTGTTAAAAAATTATTTTTTTAATTAAAATGTTAAAATATCTTAAATACGATATAAGATCAAAAAAAAAAAAAAAAAAAAAAAAAAAAAAGACGGAGCTAAATTGTTCAATTTTGCCACTGCGAGTCATTCGAGCTTCGTTAATTTCAAAATAGGTATATTTTTGAATTTCATGCAGAAACAGCCAAATTTTAATTTTGGTAATAGCTAAAGTTAAGAAAAATTATATTTTTTAGCTTAGAAATGTAAGATGTAAAGTTTTTTACTACGATAACCGATTTTCCCTTTATGATATCTAAAAAAAGCTAGTAGATTCTTGCAGGTTCTGGAACAGACCGTATAATCAATAATTGAATAAAGGCATTTTCTCCTTAGTCCACGCTACTATTATACGTCTTTTTATTTTTGAATGTTACTTATTCGCTTTAAATAGTAATTTCACACAGAAAGGTAATGGTGATTCATGATCAATGCACAAACTACTAACTACTACAATGATTAAATAATGAGATGAAAATATGCTCGACAAACTATTCTTTTAGCTTAAAAATGTCGAATTTCTTGTAGATAAAGGAATGGGTATTGATGTTGCTATCTATGGATTGTTTTATTTATTTTTTGATATTGGTACTATGATAAGAATTTATTTAAACTTTGTTGCTTTATATTAGTTGACAATATAATCGTTTTGACCTGTTTCTCATATTGATTAAGCCTTTTTAATTGACAATTTAATGTTAATGTATTAAACATGCTTTAAGACTCTTATATTCAAATTTCCAGTTGGTCTTTGAGATCTAATGAACTGTTTTCTATGGACTAATCGAAAGGCTCCATTCTGATCGAATACCTCCCGATGTTCAGTGTTTTGATGATTTTTGCCACATTTTTCCACGGATTTGTCTAAAAATTGGTACTCCAGCATTTAAATGTGAATAAAACTTTTGTTTTATTTTTTTTTTTTTTTGATACTGGTAGCGTAGCCCGACGTCAAGGAAGTGGACGGAAGAAAACAGCTACATCAGCAGAAATGATTCGAAAAGTAAAAAAGCGACTTAATCGAAACCCGCGTCGCAGTGGCCGAAAAATGGCTCGTGAGCGGATCATATCGCAATATTCCATTCGGCAAATATTGAAAAATGACCTTACCCCGAGGAATTTCAGGCCACTGAAATTCCAAAAAGTACAAGAACTTACACCACAACAGAAAGAAAATACACTCAAAAGAGCTAAAGAGTTGCTTCACTTTGCCGAAAGTGGTGAACTGCCGAATTTAGTTTTCTCCGATGAGAAAACATTCGTTGTCCAGCAGTTTGTAAACAAACAAAATGATCGTGTTTACTTGCCAAAGAGGTCAGTTGAAAATGTGCACCTTCGGTTGGCCACCAGAACTTAAGCGCCGGCCATGGTGATGGTGTGGGCCGCCATAACAGCCGATGGTCGCTCTCCGCTCGTATTAATCGACCGTGGAATCAGAATAAATGCCGAATATTATTGCAAAAATATTCTGGAGGGTGTATTAAAGCCTTGGACTAGAGAAATGCGGAAGAGTTCGGAGAAATAATATGATAAATAGTAGTCCACAACTAAAAGTTCATTGTGTCGTCTTTAGAAACTTAAATCTTCTAGTTAGTTGAAGAATGAATGAAAGAATGACGAAAGACGATTGTGTTTTTTTTTTCTCTCCCACGAGCCTGTGTCTCGCATTAAAATGTTCGACTGTTTCAATTTCGTGGCAGATCCTACATGGATGCTTTTTCATCTAGCCATTTTCTTCTTAAATTATTAACTCTTGTAGATTTGGAGAACGTAACTGTTCTCCTATTCTCTCAATGGCGGATACCAACTTTAGGCGCCCCATCATCCGTATGTGTGGTATGAAATATTCTATTAGAAAAAAATTAACAAAGTACAAATGGATGAAACATATTGTAGAAACTTGGTAGGGTAATTTTCCTTTAAAACTGGATCTATCGATTTTTTAGGTAAACTATACCGTTGTATTGGAAAATACATTTTATCATCAATTACATCTAAATTGGTGAGAAAAAAAAAAATACTATAATAATGACTTTCATTTCATTTTACAACATATACTACATATTTAACATGAACATTATCTATTATTTGCAGATTGTCATTGCGATATTCTCTTTTGTGTATGGCAACCCTTTGCGTGTTATAAATGGCTATGATTCCTTTGGAAATACATGTGGCGTTAAGAAGAATGAACGTTATCCACAATTTCCCCTTTCGGGTAGGAATACCTTGGATACACCACAACTGTTGTACTTCGATGTCAAACATTTAAAAAAATCTCTCAAAGTATGTGTTAAGGAGTGCCCCTCAAAAACACTGCTCAATAGCGATGATGTTAATAAATATTATTTGGAAACACGAAATCATATTTGCCGTTATGATTTCAATATGTCGATTCTGGCTGATAGTGGCCAAGGTGATTTAAGCAAGCTGTTTAATACACTTGGCCCATGTCCAGAATTTCCCATATATGAGAGGTAAGTAGAGAATTTTAACCATTTTACTGAATGTTATATTTTGTTATTGTGTTAGCTTTATGCCACATATTTATAGATAAGTCATTGTAAGTAAGTTCAATTAACACATTGTTATTAGCTGGATTTAATTAATAAAATAAAATATTATATAACAATTATTTAAAAACACATTACCACTTTACCGTTGACTGCAAAAGTCAACTGTCTGATGACAGGATTAATTATACTTACAACCATTGCTAGAGAGGGAATATATCATTTGATACGGCCAAAACGTGCCTCATCGAAACAACGGCTTTAGACCCTAGGCCTCTTTGGACCAAATCCGTTTCACGACATTTGGAGTCGATCTAGTGATGTCCGTCCGTCTGTCTGGCTGGCTGGTGCGCACGATAACTCTCGAAGGGAGTATACAATTTGGTCCAATCTTGGTACATCGTAATAGTATTATCAAACTTAGATCGAGTTTGGAGATGGGCAATATCGGTCCACTCCTTCTGATACCTCCCCCACAAAAGGTCGAACTTTTCAAGGAAAATATTTTACTACACAAAAAGAGAAACAATAATCCGATTTTGCTCCAACTTTGCAAATAATAATATTTGCATCAGTTCTAGGTCAGGTGTGAAAATGAACAATATCGGTCCACTCCATCAAGTACCTCCCCCACAAAGGGTCAAAATTTGTAATAATTTTAATTCTTATAAAATGTGAAATAATATTTCGATGAAGAAGATGGGATTTATCGGTCCACTCCTACTGGTACCTCCCCCACAATGGGTCAAGATTTTTAATATCAATGAAGCTCATATAACGCGAAATTAATATCCGATTCCAATAAGACATGGAACTACACAATATTTCTATCAACCCAAGATCTGTTATAAATATGGTAGAGATCACCATTTCTTCTGGTACCGCCCCCACAAAGGGTCAAAGTTTTGAATAACCAAAACTATCATAAATTCCGAAATAAGCAGATCTTGCGTAAGAAAAAATAACGGCATGTGTAAAATTTGATAAGAACAGGATGTTTATTCCGAATACCAATATTATTTTTAATATTTTTTTCCTTACGCTTATTTTGTGTTTATTTGAGCTTTCGTTTACCATCGTTTCGTTTGCATCTCATAACTTATAATTTTTTTTAAGTAACTTGATATGCATTCACTGCGTGTTTCAATGGAAATTTTCCCAAATGTCTTTGCCGCACAAGTTAAGGTGGCCGAAATTTTTTCTAGGAAATATTATGTTTTCTTTATCACCCTTGTTGTAATAACCAGAAAAAACTGCATTATTTTGAAACCATTTCTTTACATTTTTAGTTCACCCGTGTTACATCGCTGCATGCCCAAGAGCAAAAATGCTCCCGTCAAAGATATGTATAATATGTTAAATTCTTGGGATGCGGCTCAACAATTTTTGGCCGATATCTATTCAACTTGGCATTTTGTGGCCATAATCTGTGGATTGGCATTTTGTAAGCAGCATCATATATATTTAAACAAACTTTAATTGAATATTTTATCTTATATATTTAATATATTCTTAATTTACAGTAATTTCAATTGCACTGGTTATATTAATGCATTGGCTGTCACGCATTGTATCCTGGCTGATTTGTGTTTTGGTTGTTGTCTCTAGTGTAGGTTTGACTGGAGCTTTGTGGTATGTCAAGTTATATTCTAATGATTATTAAAATGTAAAATATTTATATGTCTTTTGTCTAAATAGGTATGCTTATTATTCAATAAAACGTAAGGAAAAATTAAATGTTCAATTTTCCTACCTGGAAGAATTTACAAGAAACGAACAAGCCGTTTTCACCTTGGCAATTTTGGCTACCATAACAATGGTATGTTGACAAATAATATTGTAATCCGAGATTCACAATGACTTTATTTTTTGCAGATCATATTGGTGGTCATTATTTATTATCTGAAAAACAAATTATCTGGTTTGACGGCTTTATTCGAAGAGTCCGGAAAATGCATGATGAATTTACCCGGATTAATATTTGCACCATTACTGGCGTTTGTGGTTTTAGCATTATTTTTAGCATTTTGGGTGTTTGTGGTGATTTGCATTGCGACAGCAAGTTCGCCGGGGAATAGCAATCCATTTGCTCCTTTAGATAACACGGCAACACAGTCCAATGGCGTGGTTGTTAATTCAACTAAAAGTGAGTATCAACTACTTTATTCAATAAAATATTTGATTCAGAATAGCCTTGATCCCCGCTCACACATTTCATTTCTATATTGATAATATTTAAAACATTTTACGGAATTTTGAATGATAAAAATCATGTGTAAGTGATTTGAACAAAAAAGGAACAGTACATTTTTAATGTAATTTTTAAATTGATTAACACGTTGTTTGCATTGCATTGGTTTTTTAGATTCGCTTTATCATGTTGATATTTTTTATTACAACTTCTCTTAACACAAACTGCGATTCTATTACTATTTAAAATTTCCTTTTAAGCCATGTACATAAATGATTATAGAACTTAAACAAATTTATTTTCTGTTAAAATTATAAAATAGAATTTACAACACATTTCTATTTTTGGAGCTTGAATGTTTATTGCTGAGAAATCAATATTTTGCACCGCATAGTTAATATATTGTACATTGTTTTCAACATTTTTATTAAGCAGTAAAATAGACAATGATTATGGTCTAAGTATCGGATTTTTTAATACTGGGGAAAAGATCAAAGAACAGTGACAAGTATTCAATAGCATTTGTTGTGGTAATATGAATAAATATTAATAAATATACATCTTGGAAAAGAAAAGGCTTTAGTTCTGACCCTAACTCTATTCCCATGCAAAATTTCTTGAGAGTCGGACGATAATTGCGACTTGAATATAATACACCCAAAACATAGTGTTGTAAGGTAAAAATATATTACCAAACGTAAAATTCAAAATTTTAAGTCAAATATGAAAAAATCGCATGCGATAAAAAATATGACAAAATAAAACAAAAAAAAAAAAAAACACTTTTTTCTTGGCATACTTTCGCACAATATTCTCAGATTTTATCCTTGTCTAGCAAAAGGCGATTCTAATTTTATGAGAATTGTCAAAGTCCGTCCACCCGTTCTAGAGTTATAAGCGAACTAACTAACATCCCCTTCTTGGATATATGATATTGTATATATTTTGCTATATATGCGATATCTTCAATATAAGAGCATCAGTATAACGGTCAGAAGTGAAATTTTCGTGCGTTTCGTAGGGATTAAAACTATTCGCGGTTTAGTGGACATTTTCGTATTTCTTACATTAAAGTTATGGTCTATTTTCTATCAATTTCAGTATTATGGTCTATTCTATCTATCAAAAAACAACAGGCTTATATTCTGACCCTAGCCCCACCTCCATGCTAAATTTCGTGAGGATCGGCACATAATTGTGACCGGTAGAGTGATTGCAAATTAACATGGACAGAAGGACAGACGCACGGACATACATAGCTAGATCGACTCAGCTCGGTGAGATAGGATTATCAATATATAGTTTCCAATGTCGGGGACCAATATTTCAAGGTGTTACATAATTTTTGGCCCAATCAAACTTATAATACCCCAGCACATAGTGTATGAATATCTCTGCTTCCAAATGCAGCAACATCTGTAGTATCGACTGGCTGCGTCCCATGTCATACTTGCCAAAGGCTAGTGTGCTTAGATCAATGATGGTCAGCCGAGACAAACCCTATGCCAGCGACAAATTACTTATTAGTGTGAGTAGAGTTTGTGCGTAAAATTCTGCTGCTAGTTGCGTACGCAGCGATGCGACTGCAATTTTGTTGACGTGCAGTAGGAGAGATGCAGTGTGTCGTTTTGCCCTAATCAGAATACTGCGCCTTTATTAAGTGTCGTATTATTCAGATTTTAGTAACATTATTAAGATTTAAGGCATTTCAGGTTGCCTTGGCTGCTATCTGATATTCGTATCAATTAAATCTGTTGGTTTAGTTTTTTTTCTCTACACACATTTGCATCATAATCTGTATATACCTTCTAGAAAAATTAATTTTAAATAAGTCCCTTACTTAACTGCAATTTTCTTAATTTTCTTTCAAAATGAAAAAATTAATTTCTCTAATATTTTTGTATATAATATACACATGTCGAGCCCTAACGATTTTAAAATAAGATGTATGACTGGCCACTATTCAACTGTTTGACATAATAAAACGTGAGTTTTTAGTTTGAGGACTGAATATAATCGGACATTTACCTAGCTCGAAATAAAAACACATTAAGTTCGGCACAATAGGGTAACAAAACATTATAAATAAAAGTATCTGGACTCAAACGTGTTCTACTGGATTCAACGTGTTCTGTTGCAAATACTAGTGAAATCGTTGAAAAGTTAAAGTTTTAAATTAAAATGTAGAGTGGGGGGGACCGTTCTATGGGGGTAATTTATTTTGTTTATTAATAATCCGCCTCATAATAAAAAGGCCTAATAGCGTCTAAACCGGGAAAAACATTTTCTACTAGTATTGTTATTTATTGCAAGTCTTAAATACCAAATTCAAAACGCCGGGAAAATGTGGCTAGGATCATCAAAATACGGAATATAGGTGTGTTTTTTTATAAAAATCGCGGACCAATATGTATAATGTTTCGAGACAGGTTGTGGAAGTCATTAGGAACTACAAATGCCGATTTAAAAAAATCCAATAAAAATGTGGCCTAAATCGTAAAAATACCGAATAACTGCACATATTGTTTTATGGGGGCTATAGTAAAATGTGGACCTATACAGACTATGTTTAGCCATCAGAGTTAGAAACCGTCCAAAAACCATGGGAAAAAATCATCAAATAACACATATCTGGTGGGCTATAGGAAAAGGTGTATATAATGTTCTGCCACCGGATCTATAACTCATTAGAACCTTCAAAACCAAATTTGGAATACTAATACCAAACGGAATGATGACTTTAATATATCCTCCTTTCCATGGTGCAGGGTATTAAAATATTTGTTTTAATTAGCACTTAGGGCTCGATTTATATACACATGGAAATACACAATGATGTTGCTTTGTTAATTGACTCTGAATTTTTCTTATAGGCTTTATACCAATAGAATACACCGAAGCCAAGACAATCAAGAGCATGTTTTGGATATATGTAGTCGGTCTCATATGGACGACAGAATTTATTTTCGCCTGTCAACAGTTTGCTTTGGCTGCTGCTGTAGCATTCTGGTACTTCGATAAGCCTACAACAACACCTACGATATATGCAATTGGAAGACTGATTAAATACCATTTGGGAACTGTGGCAAAAGGTTCATTTGTCATAACAATTTTCAAGATACCACGTCTAATTCTGACATATCTTTATGCAAAGTAAGTATAATGTGGGTCTCTATTTCATGAGAGTCCTTAATGTTATTTTCTACAAAGGACCTTATTCACGTTGTTTTAATCGTCATTTTATTACAGATTAAAAAAGGGCGAAGACAAAGGTTCTGAATGTGCTGCATGCTGTCTTAAGTGTTGTATTTGTGGTTTTTGGCTATTGGAAAAATTCATACGTTTTCTTAATCACAATGCTTACACAGTGGTGGCCATAGAGTCCATCAATTTTTGTCCAGCCGCAGGAATCGCTTGGAATGCCATGGCCACCAATGCTTTACAAGTTGCCACAATTAATAGTGTTGGCGATTTTGTGTTGTTTTTGGGAAAAGTAATGGTAGCCGCTATTTCGGGTCTCATTGGTATATTTATTTTAAAAGATAGACCTGGTTTAAATTTCTACATGGCTCCTGTTATTTTAATTATCATATTTTCATTCTTCATTGCCCACATTGTGCTGTCGTTGTTTGAGGTAAGTAAACCCCTAAAGAAGATGTGCAAGCTTAACGTTTATTTTTATGTAACAGATGGTTGTGGATACACTCTTTTTGTGCGTATGTGAAGACAAAACAATTAACGGACGTGGTGGACGCTGGGCCCAAAGTAATTTAGCCAAGTTAGTGGGAGAGGAACCCTTACAGCCAGGCGAGGAACCTCCCATACAGGTCGTCGAAATGATGCCCATTAACAAACAACCATTCAGTAATGCAAAACGGCCAGGCATGATTGTACCTGACGGACCCATGGAATCAAATGAATAGATTATAAGTACACACAATATTCTAATTAAAGTTAAAAGAGTTCTGAAAATATTTATATTTATACAAGTTTATCGTTTTCAGTATCCCTTAAAATATGTTAGCTTTATGGAAAATCCGCACAATTTTTTATACGTATTTATTAAAAAAGAAAACAAAATAATTTAGAAATGTGTGTTTTGAATCTCTCATTGTGTTCCATACGAAGAAATATTGCTTACATCATTGTATATGTATGTGTCATTGGAAATGTTTTTGCACTTATTTTCGCTTCCATAATACATAATATAAATATAAAGACTTATTTATTATCATTATGTTGTTCTGATACAGTCTATTCAAGATATATGTAATTACACTCATATTTTTGTAATAAAATAAATGAAACACAAACACTCGTGTTTAAAATGTTTCCAGAGTCTTGAGATTTGAAATTGTTAGGTTGGAGAAAAATAGCAAATTTACAGCTATGGGATAGCAATAGATAACGTAGTAGCATAGATAAGTTTGTGAAAGTTGTGGGAAAAGATACCCAGCTGAATGGATCGTACTGTCAGAATTACCATTCATAAATATGCCACATTCTGAAGACAACATCTAATAAAATTTCGTAACAATTGTATCCAATTTATAGGGTTTTTCATTCATTCAAATTCCATTTTTTCACAGTTCATTGTGCCGACCACTGCGTTGAAGATTGTCTCATAGTTACAATCAATTCATTTGATTCCATAATAAGGTCACGCAGTAGGTGGATTCAAACCTTAGATTTCTCTTTTTAAATACAAATAATTTTGAAGCATATCTTCAATCATGGTATTATTACGGACGTTTTGCTGAATGTAATTAAAGTACCAATTTTCACCCAAATTTAATATATTTAACAAGCAAAAAAGTAGTAGTATACCCTCCACCATTTGGAAAGTAATGATGGGGGCTATAGGAAAACTTTGATGGTGAGGATGAGCTGAAAAAACTGCAACCAACTTCAGTCTGCTGTCATTTCTAAGCCACTCGTCCGACAGCAGTTAAAATTATTCCAGTGACAGCTCATTATATTGTTTATTCGTGATGGAATTCAAGTGTGATAGAGTGACTTATTTATATTTGGCTGAAAAACCACAAATGGCTATTGTTAGAGCATTCCAGCATTTAAATGTCAATAAATCTTTTGTGCCTCGTACCATCGCTCGTTACCGTGATACTGGTAGCGTAGCCCGACGTCAAGAAAGTGGACGGAAGAAAACAGCAACATCAGTAGAAATGGTTCGAAAATTAAAGAAGTGACTTGATCATAACCCGCGTCCCAGTGGCCGTAAAATAGCTCGTGAGCTGAACATATCGCAATATTCCATTGAAATTCCAGAAAGTGCAAATTCTTCACCGCAACAGAAAGAAAATAGACTCCAAAGAGCTAAAGAGTTGCTTCGCTTGGCCGAATTTGGTTTTCTCCGATGAGAAAACATTCGATGTCCACCAGTTTGTAAACAAACAAAATGATCGTCTCTACTTGCCAAAGAGGTCAGCTGAAAATGTGCACCTTCGGTTGGCCACCAGAACTCAGGCGCCGACTATGGTGATGGCGTGGGCCGCCATAACAGCCGATGGTCGTTCTCCGCTCGTATTAATCGACCGTGACATCAGAATAAAAATGTAAAAATTATTGCGTTTGATTTTATGCATTTTTTATCTCACCCTGTACATATTTTTCTGATACAGGATTTTACAGCTTTACAAAATACCGAATTTTAAGTAATTCCCTTGGAAAATGTGGCTAAAATACTCAAAACACCGAGTATCTGGAAGTACCGTTTTATGGGGGTTATTGGAAATCGTGCACCTATATAGACAATATTCTGCAACAGGGGATTAAAACCGTTTGAATTATATAGGTGCTATATGAAAACGTGAACCGATATTGCCCATGACCCACAGACAATTCTATGTAAAATTTTAGATTCCTCTCACATGCCGTTTGAACTCTAGCGTGATTACAAAAGACGGACGAAGGCTGATCAAGAATATATATATTTTGTTGGGCTTAAAATGATTAATTCCATGAGTTACATACGGAATGACAATCTTAATATACCCCATATACTAGACATGGTGGGGGGCATAGAAACGAGGAAAAAATTAGTTTTCTGAACAAAATGTGTTCCTAAATTAAAAGAGTATGTTTTTTGTGGTCGTAGTTGTTGAAAGCAACGCAGATAAGTTAAAAATATTTTGTGGAAGTACATTTTTGGAATTTGTTTGGATTCACTTTTTACTCATTATTAAAATATTGTAAAAATTAAAAGAAAAAAAAAAAAAAGCAAAAAAAAAAAAACGGTGACAATCCTATCACAGTTACTAAAGATTTGGGTAAACATATGACCAAAAAACATTTTTAATATAATTTTTATTATTTGAAACTAACAAATCCACCTTAAAGTACTCATCTTCCAAAGAAAAATCCAGTAGTAAGCAAATGGATAGCATTGACTGTAGCTGTCGCTAATTTGAATAACAGAGTATAGCAAAAAAATTAATATGACGTAAAGATACTAGTAAATAATTACATTATAATTAAAAAATGCTTATAATTAAAGATATAGCTTCTTTTAAACATTCTGCCAACCCTTCAGTTTAGGTAAATACAAATCCTTGTTCCACCGGTATGTCAAATGGAATGTTGAAATATTCGGTAGGCAATTGAGTGCAATGCGTTGACTTGAAATCTCGAAAATGTTTTCGCAACTAAAAGATGGAGAGTGAAAAGTTTTATTTATATGTCATCACAAATAAGGTTGTAAAATATTCGTCATACCAAAAATTCGGCCATTTGATGGCGTACTTCATCAGTGTAATCTTCTCCTATGGACATTGGGTACTTCTTACCCTGATCGGAGGCGTAAGTTATTAGACGTGTTAAACAGAGATCATCATCTGATGCTGTAATTATATTTTATTTAAAATCAAAACATATATTTATTATCCTTTTTTCATACCTGTATAATTACGTATTTCCAAGGGTTTAGAAAGTATCTGCTTACACCTATTCAATTGTGATGTTTGAAATATGAAGGGATACCGATATTTTAAAATGCTCAAAGCTAAGAAGTTTCCTCGGTTGGTATCAAGTTGGTTATCTCTAAAATAAAATGTAAAACAATGTTTTTAATGTTTTATGTTCGATTTTTTGTGATAGTTCTCTACAAGTCATAAGGTGTCTGTGATAAATGTCTCAGTAAAATTTATTCAGCAAAATATTTGCGTTTCGTAAAAGAATGTGTTACCCGAACCAAAAAACCTCAAATACGTACTGATCTGAACAGAAGAAATAATTTTATTTCGCTTTATAGAGTTTTTGTTTTATATTTTCGCACGATTTTCATTAATTTATTGATGGTTTGGAATAACTTTTATATTTTTCAATTTCCAAATTCGATTTATACTTGGTTTTAATGTTTAAAAGCGATTCAAATTTAACTTTCGTGATTGTATTTCTTCCATTTTTTTTGATTTCACAAAAGTTTTTACTTTTTTTTAAATATATTAAAATTTTTTTAAAAATGCTATCATTTATATAATAATTTTTCAAAATAGTTGTAAACTTGGAAAAAGCCTATTAAATTTGAAAAAAATGTGAATAACATCTAATTGCTTCTACTTTATAAAATATACCTTGCTGTCATTTTTGTTCACACATTGTTTCAAAAAGAATTGCTAGCTCAAAAAATAAAAATTTGGAGTGAGGCATTAAGTGGATATTTCGTAATGAAAAATAATATAAATATAAAGGTTCTACAAAATCAAATTACAAAAAAAAAAAAAAAAAAAAACTATAAACAATATATATTGTCTTGGAAATGAAATGAAAAAATTACATAATGTTTTTAGAAATCACTTACTCTGCTATAACCTCATCCTCAGTTCGTCTAATCAAACTTATTGGTCCATGATAGTTCTGAGCCAGCTCAGCATTATTCAGGTTACAATAATCACGTATTGCAATACGCACAACACCACCTTGAACCAATTAAAATCATCAAACATAATATTATTAAATATTGAAAATAAACCATACCTAAACTTTCAGGCATTCTGGGTTGTGCCAAATACAAAATGTCATCGAAAGTGGCGTCTAATATCTACAAATATAAGCATTAAGCAACATAGATAATTAAACAGCAAAATCAATCTTACAACACCCTTAACATCTGGAAAACATGATGCCGCCCACAAGGATGCGTATCCTCCGATACTCCAACCATACAATATAATATCCTCGACCGAGAAACCCAACTCATATATTGCAAATTGTACAACTGCTTCGATTGCATTTTTATCTTGGTCCGGAAATGGTGTACCAGTACTGCCTTCAAATCCGGGATGGTTCCACCCCAATATTGAGTAATTTAATGCCAGTGGTGTACCAACTATGCCAATCTCGTAAAACCCAGCATTGCCTGCAATATATTCATAAATATTTATATTTTCGTAAATTTCATCAACCCTTATTTTACCTTCTGAACATATGACTAAAGTTTTTCCATTTGGACTCTTTTCACGATTGTCCACAAATATTGTATCGATGTCATTGGAATCTATTGTTCGAATTTTATGGCGCTTCCCATTTTCTTCTTCGATTAATTTGGCACGACCGGATATTAACATTGGTCTCATATAGCTTTGCAAAAGTTTAACAGATCCAGGAAATATCATTCTTATACCGAATGTTTGTATAGCAAGATATGCTGCTATTTCACAGGGCAATGTTGCAAATCTAAATGACCGTGTGGAGTTTTTTGCCATTGTTTGACATTTCTTCTTGTCATCACTGTAAATGGGTACACGTTTTATTATAGTTTCCGTGTCATTAAATTTGTACATACCTTTGCAAGTTTTTTATATCAAAGTCAACAGTCCAACTTTTAAATTCGAAATCAAACAACCTAAGAGCCCTTTTTCCTTCTTCCTCAGTTTTGGGTGATTTCAACATTTCCATGGCTTTAATCATTTTCGTGTATGAGGCTGATTGTGATCGCCCTAAGCCCCTCATTATCATAGATATGACAACGATAAGACCAACGCTAGTGCTTATTTTTGCCAGTGTGGCTATGGAATCCATAACAAAATAGCCACGACGATATAGCAATGTGGCTATTATTGGGGAGCTATAGAATCCAATATTCCACACCAAATTAAGCTATAAAAACATTTGAAATACAATAGGATGATGCATCGCTTGTTTAATTGATATCTTACCGTGGACAAAATCTGATCGCCAAATTTCTCCAAGCCATTTGGCTCATACATTTTCTACAACAAAAATTATGCAAAAATAAAACCTTTTAAGCCACAACACTATGTTAACTCACCATGCCCATACCATATTCCATATATAGTTTGGGCCCCAGTATGTATCGCAAAAACCCCATTTTCTCGAAATTATAAATCGATGTTTTTGAGTCTTCGTTGAAATTGCATAAAGGCCCCCGAAATGTTGCAAAAGCCTCTTTCAAAATGCAAAATAAAATTACAAAATTAAAATGACATCGAAAAATTATCCTCTTCTTTTTTCGGCTACAATCCACACCGAAATGATGCCTTGTGGGGATTTGTAGATCGTTTTTGAACTAATAGATAAAACCACTTTTCAAATATCTTATTTCCCAGCAGTCCGCTGGCCATTACAATTTAATACCCATCCAAATGTATGCTATATTGTCAATAGGAAAAAATGAAATGACAGTGGTTAATAGCATACAACTAGCATCCGAATCGGATGAGTCGTATTGCTATTACATTGTGAAACAAAATCCATGTTAGAATTAAAGAACAAAACAAAATACAATAAAAACTGTCCATCGCACTTGCATCTGAATCGGATGCCTTTGTATTGTTTTGTAATTTTTTTGTTTATTGTTGCAGCTGCTGTTGTACCGTTATTCATTTCTGATGCTTCTTTCTATTTTGAAGCAAAATTTTATTCTGTGAAGTGTTTTTGAAAGTGCAAGTAGTGAATTTTGAACAAAAGTTAATAAAATAAATTAATAAAATAAGAATATAGTAAGTGTTGTGTGTTAAATTAGTTAAATAAAATGTCAGGATTCAGTAGGAGTAATTTAAGACAACTAAAGAAAGTGGAAGCAGACAATTTAAAAAGAAATGCACAGTTGAGGACGGACTGTTTGGAAAACAATGATATTCTACAAAATAAGCAGATTCCATGCATTCCAAAATTGTAGAAGATTTTGGAAAATATGTAAGAATATTAAAATCTCTCCGTTATAATCCATTAATAATTTAAATGCTTTCAGGTCAGTATCATAAAAATTATAATTTCTCCAGATTAAAAACTTCTGCAAGATTAATGACAATTCTATAATATTATCTTACAGCTATGATGGTACCCAAAATAAAAAGGCGTTTAAGGAATATAAATTTTAATCATGGCCATTTTCGGTAAGTTAAATTTTTTCTTACATATTTATTGAAAAGTGATATTATATTACCTTAAAATGTAGTCCATTAGTCTATTCTATAGTATAACTGTTTAATATTAAAAAATTGTTCTATATTTTCTATCCTTATTTCAGAAGCTGTCATATGTGAAGGATTCCATGAACAGGATTAGAAATTGTTTCAAATTCCCTAAGGCCAGACACTTCCGAACAATGTCCTACAATAAAAAACTGGAAAAATATATTTTTTTTCCTTTAGTTTAAGCGTTATTTCTTCCCACGTCTTTTGAATAAGTTTTATGAATTTCGTTTTTATGCATTATTTCTAATTATAATAATATTTTATTGTTGAAAACACTGTTAATAATACGAATATTTTAATAAAAGACAGCTGAAATGTAAGTTCCACAATCTAAAATGTTGATGGAATCGGACCCATCCAACCTTCGCTTACAATGTTGATAGATTTCGGACCCATCCAACATTCGCTTACGTTGTCGGTCGATTTCGGACCCATCCAACATTCGCTTACATTGTCGGTAGATTTCGGACTCGTCTGACGGCCTAGGCCATCTCTTTGTAAATGTAAGTAGAAATTGTATACAGGCTTTGGATGGGTCGCACCTACATTGTCATTGGTCTCAGATGGAAGATGTATGTGCTAAAAAATCCGCTGTGTTGGTCAGTTCCAGAGTCTGCAAGAATTTATTAGTTTTACAATTATTTTGATAATATAAAGAGAGAGAGAGATTAGATCATCTCATTACGTCTCAAATTTTGTATTACACTAAAGATAAAAAGTTACTGAGCAATTTTCAGTTCGGATTCAGGTGTGATTATAGTACTGCCACTTACTTGCTTCATCCCACGGATGCGATAAGGGAGGCTATTGATGCTGGTAGTTTTGGTGTACTTGTAGCTCTAGATACATTTTCAATCACGTTGTTTGCTCTCAGAATTAGGTACACGAATTAACCCGTTCATACGGCTCAATTCGTAATTCGTAGTAAAAAATTCGTTTTTTCAAAAATTTTGTTTGTTGATTTTATTGGGAATTTATACAAAAAAAAAAAACATGAAATTCTCACTAATATGAATAGAAGAAATTATTGTTTTTCTTCCAAAGAATAATTATATCATTAATTTTACAATTTTCATTCATGTTTTCAACTGTTTGTGTAAATGTTGACACTTTGAAAATATTTTTGAATTTTTTTCATTTTTAAATTCTGCTGGAGAGACACTTGTCAAACATTTTTTCTGCCGATACAAACATTTTGAAAATATTGCCTCTTTTGTTTGTAGTTTTCTGTGGCAATTTCAACTCGTGGATAAAATGCATACCTCGAATGAGAGAGAAAACAAAATGTACTTTCGTTTGAATGTACATACGCCATTCAACATTGTAATTTTCAGTTTTCATAATTTTCAGTCTTCCCAAAAATTTTTAAAATTTCATTAAATTGTTCTAGTTTTAATTTTTAAATGTCATAATTTATTTTTTCACATTTTTTTTTCGTTGTTCTGAGAGTGATTTGATTTGAACAATGTACAAATAGGAGTGTTCCCTCAGGAAAATTTGTGTGAAGAATTAAGTAGTTTTTCATAGTTAAGGGTGAAACAAAGAATAGAGAGTGAATCAAGTGCAGTGGAAACGCCACATTAGATTGTGTAAATGTAATTAGCCCAATTCAAACGAGAGTAATTTTTAGTCCAAACAAAATTTTTCTTTCCAAAACACACGAGACCAATGAAACTGTCTTAAATTGGATATATATACACAGCTTTGTGCGTGTTAGCATTTTTTTAAATTATTTTGTTTTCATGAGTGTGCATGTATTACTTTTATTGAAGCTGGATGAAATTTTAGTCCAACGAAAAACGACTCTCCTCCCCGAAAATGCCAACAATCTTCTTTGTTAGACCAGTACAATTACTCTCGTGTGAATTGGGCCATTAGAATTATCTTTTGTGCTTTCGATAATTTAACGCATTGAAAATCGATTTGGCGGGTATCGTCGTATGAGCTAGTCCCGTGGCTCATTTAAAGAATGTGTTGAGTCTGATTGCGTTTTCCTCATGTCTCATTCGTAAACAACAGGTTACTCGGGGTTTTGCTTTCTGTTTATTTTTATCGGGTATTCCTTTTTGTCCTTCATAGAAGACAGAAGCGCAGAGACAACTCAACCACAGCAGACAAGTCAAGCATCCACATCCACGGCATCCTATCCCTACTGTAAACAATGTCTTCATCGTTGAGAGGGATACATATTAATCTATTTAATGAGAATTTTCTGAATGAATCCGAACAGGATGCGAATTCTGCACTAACAGAATTGGACAAAGGATTACGTTCGAAACTTGGGGTCCAGTGCGAGGCAATTGTACGGTTTCCTCGTCTATTCGAAAAGTATCCATTCCCCATACTAATCAATTCGTCTTTTCTGAAATTGGCGGAATTTTTCCTAAATGGTTCCAATCTGCTACGTTTTTGGGTGCTACGTGTCTGTCAACAAAGCGAGAATCATTTGGATAAAATATTGAGCATAGATGCCTTTGTGAAGAGAATTTTTATGGTCATACACTCGAATGATCCAGTCGCTAGAGCTTTGACTTTACGGACGCTGGGAGCTGTTTCCCGGGTAATACCAGAGAAGCAACAGGTTCATCATGCCATTCGTAGGGCATTGGATAGTCATGATACTGTTGAAGTTGAAGCAGCCATATATGCTAGCAGTCAATTTGCTTCTCAGTCCAGGTCCTTTGCTATAAGCATGTGTGCCAAAATTTCTGATATGATTGAGTCGTTAAAAATTCCAGTGCCAATGAAGCTACAACTGATACCAATTCTAAGACACATGCATCACGATGCCAATACAGCAGCATTGGTGAAAAAACTATGTTTGAATTTACTACCAAAGTATCCTGCAGAGAGTTTTGTAGTGGCGATTTTCGCTTCATTGACTGAGCTATCGGCAAGAACTTTAACAGGGGTGCCGGATCAGGTGAGCCTGTTATTGGAAGCCATCAGCAACGATCTACGAAAACCAGTTCGTGTACAGGCGCTGAAATCCTTAAATAAATTAGCTGAGAAACAATGTGTGCACGCTTGGCCCAAATCGGCCATAGGTGATCTCATTTGCAAAGCATATGCCTGCACAGATTCATCCGAGCAGTATTTATTTCTTGGCGTTATCCTAAAGCTAAGCGACTGCCCACTCACATGTAGCATATTGTTGGATGAAGATGCAGAGGCTCCAACTGTATTGGATTTGTGCAAAAATTGTTTGTGCCTGAAGGACTATACTACCGCCAGTCAAGCAATTACTGTTTTAGCTTCCCTGGTATCATATGCAAACATAAGCAATAAGGCTAATCACATTAGTACTATTATGGAAATGATTAATTTGCATTTGCAAAGTCTCATTTGGTGTACCATAAAGGATGCAAAACATTCTGATGATTTGAGAAAAATTCTAGCATGTGGCATTAAGGTATCGTCGGTGAAAGTTGAATTTGGAATTGAATTGGTAAAAACATTGGCTAAACTTTTAAATGATAATGTGGAGTACCCAAGTGCCAACGAGAAGGCCATGTGCGAGGCATTGGGCTCGTTGTGTTCTTACTTCCAATTGAGAAAATTTGCTGCCCCTACAACTGCGTCCGAGGGAGAGGAAATGGAAACGGACCAAACCAAAGAACAGAGGGTGAGTTTGTCCATTTGTTCATATTAGGCACATTTAGGTGAAAAATAAAATCTAACTGAATATGTAGACAGGTCTTGAAGGAGTGTGGGACAGAAAGTTTTTAATATGTTATTTCGCTTCCCCTTTTATTGCAGACCAATCCTGTGCTAAAGAATCTACTATTGATAATGCGCAAATTAACGACAACAATTGAACGGGTTTCGCACGAAGAACCTTCCCATACTGTCGAAATTCTATCAGCGGTAGCACTGCAAGCAATGATGGGCTGCTTTATACCAACAAAGGTTATGAGCACATTCGATGCCATAATCAATAAAAGTAATCAATGGACACAATACAGAATCGCTCGTTCTGCCAGTCGGTATGGTCAGCATTATCTGGCAGCCCATATTTATTTGAAATTATCACGCAATACAGTTGTGGACAAAATGCATTTCTTTTTAACTGGTTTGGCACAACTTGCACATGCTGAATGTATCTTAAACTATAGCGTAACCTATGAATTTATGCAAGAGAACTACGAGGTGTGTGAAAACTATACTGTTCGCAGTATGCCACTGGAACAATCAATGCCACTTATGCAACGCTTGGAAATGGCCATCAATTTATATTGGCAGGCATTGGCCAGTTTGAGAGCAAGTTCTTCACCATCACATCCAGCAGTTACGTTTCAATTAGAGTTCTTGAAACTCAGAGCACAGTTTTTGCAAACCCTGCACTCGGCTGTTACCATTAAAAATGCCCAGATCATAGTACCACCCCCGGCCATAGCCGGCAGTTTGGCTCAAAATTCACGAGATTATTTGCAAAAGTTCGGACACGTAACCAATCAATTGAGGAAGTTGGTAAAGGAATTGAAAAGCTGTGAGGAGGCATTTGGTCGACTTTATAAATCTACCTTCGATGCAGACCCGTTAACATTGGAATTTTTAGAAATTCTTCAACATCAATGCACTCAATTTGCACACATCGTAGAAACTATATGTTTTGTAACTCCTTCCGAGCCGCCAGATTTTCAGACCATTGGTAAATGTCCCGAGACAATGTATTTAGTGAACTCTTGTCGTCGCATGGAAGAGTTGAGCAGATCAATACCAAAAGAGCCATCTAATAACAAAACCATTAATAATTTCCACCTTGATATAATTTTGGCAGAAATCGAAATCATAACGAAAACCCCGTTATGTTTGCCTCGTTATTTCTTCCAGGTATTGCAATCGACGCAAATTAAGCTATCCGTCATTCCACCACCACGAAGTGACGGAAAACCTGTGAATGTACAGGCGGGAAGTAATTTAGTAATAAAAGTTGAGGGTGTTATCCTTCATTATGGCAAAAGGCCATCTCTTTTCAGAAGTGTTGATGCCGTTCAGTTGAGTTTAATTTCCAAGTTGGTACAAACTCCAAGACCTCCGGGAGGCGAAACAATCAAATCGCAAAATGATACCGTAACGCTAACGCAAGTTGTGAAGCCTCAACGTGATTTCTTGTCAGGAAATTTTTTGGTACCCATATCTACCGGTGGACAGTGGCAGGTCACATTGGAAACCTATGTCATAGATGAGAGCGGCATTACCTGGTGCACTGGACCCAAAAATACCATGTTGGTTCGTGTATTGGAAGATCCAACGAAACAGCAACAGACTGCTGCTCCTTCAGCTCAAACTAGGCGTTTCTAAACAGATATGTTTTGTAAGCAAGTTTTTGTCCCTTGCAAATCTATTTTTTTAATATTTATACCCTTTAATATAAAATGAAAAAAACATGTTTTGATTCAAAAACAATAAACTTCTTCGAACAAACTTTATTTTTGGAATGGATAATAGTCCAATCCTGAATTGTAATTATATTTTGGTTTTTGTTTTCTTTTCGCAATTTCAATCATATCCTGAACATCTTTGCGATAAGCTGGCGGCAACATTTCCTCGTGCAATGTGCATTCATACTTCTCCGGTTCTTCCATCTTGTAAACATTACGCCTTATTATATCTACGTCGCGACCAAACTCTTCCTTTAGATCGGATATTTTTGCAGGTGCCGCATCAAAGTTTATGGCAAAATAAGTACCTTCCCGGTGGACGAGTCCTTGTTCACTAATTTTGTAGGGCAAAGCTCTGGATCCCAAATTTTGTAAACGTCTTATAATACCCCCTTTGTCGAGAATGGATTCTGCTGTTCTTTTCAATGCCGACACCAATTCAGGCTGGTAATATTCGGTAGATTAAAATTAGTTGTCGAAAAATTCCACACTTAAACAGATCAACTTACCCGGGACATCTGTCTTAACACCAAAAATAATTCATATGAAGGCATTTTAATATAAATTTGTTTAAATTATGTAAAAATGCTATGCTGTTATGTAAAAATATGGCAACACTGAAAAGAAAGACAGCACAGAGAGAAAATCGAAATAAAGATGGAATCAAAAGGGAAAGGCGGACAACACAAAAGGAACACAGCAACAGATGTTTAAGATATGGGTTATCATTTTACGATGATTAGCAAACAATTTGCTATCGATTCTTTGTGATTAGCAGAGACCATCAGGAACGTGAACTCTATCGACAATTATTTCAATTCGCCGTGCAACAGCTGTTCAGCAGCATATGTAAACTTATTTCACGGCGAAATTTTCCAAAAATAATTTCGGAAAACAGCTGATTGTATACAATAGGTCGGCATGTTTACTCTTTAAACTCCAACAAAACCATGGTATAATTATTACAGGTAACAGCAAGTCCCAGCTGATTTGACTCTATAGTAATACTATATTACGTTTTGTGATTTAATTCCATTATCGCCGTTGTACTTAACAAAACGCTAACTGCAATGGTGCGAAAACGTTTTTTGTGGTTAAAAAGGAGTGACACCTCATTAAGCAACATAGTCGTATATTTCATGAATAGAATACTTTATGTGTGTATGCAGTTTGCTTTCAATTTCAAAGGGATGTTGCTTTTTCCACGATTTTCTAGCGATTGCTTGAAGTGTCGAGAGATTAGGTCCAACAGCTAAAAACTTTACATTCAGGGGAATGATGTGAAAGCATTAAAATTAAATATTTTAATTAATTAATTCTGCATAATTAATTCTTCGGCATTTTAAATTTAAGAATCCAAATTCCAAAAATGTATATTTTTGAAATTAAAATAATTTACTGAAAATTAATTATTTTGTTTACATTTTTGGGCATATAACTCTGACATTTGTATTATGTACAAAAATAAATCTGTATGTGGTTGTTGTTACGATTGTTGTACAACAACTCTTGCTGTTACCTGTATTTTTCTACCATGAAACAAAAACTTACATTTGAAATAAACAAAAACAAGGCCTATTCATTAGGTCCAGAACAGAGGAAATTGCTCACACAATGTGTTTTCGTGTACGGGAACAGTATTGAAATTGTAAAAATTTTACTATGGTCTGTTCCAGAACTGCAAGAATGTAAAAGTTTTTACTACGTTAACCCATGGTACAATAAGGAGGTAGAACAGCTTCGTAAAACTACAGAAATACAGCCCTGATGCTATGACCGATTCAGTTCAAATTATATACAATTTTCAAATTTTTCTTAATTTTTAAAATGAGTTAAATAGCGCGAAAAAATGCCTGGATTTTCTCTCGAAAATATGACCAAAATAATGCAAAGTGGTTAAAAGCTTCAATGTACGTGTCGTCCAATCATTGGTTTTGAAAATATTTTTTTATTTTTCAAAACAATAAATACATACACAAAAGGTGTGTCTGGTTACTTTTCCAGCAGGAATTGCCCAGCAACTTCTTTCTGAGAGAGTAAAGTAGTTTTATTCTCTTTTGCAAGGAAAATGCGAAACGGTATTCCTGCAGAAGCTTGCAACTAATCAGCTAAATTGTCAAAACAAACCAATTTGTCCCCCATAAGGAGAATTAAAACAAAGAAAGCAATATTAATTTTACAAGGTTTTTAAATGAAAATGTTGGAAATAGTCTTTTATTTTCTTATTACATATTAACATTTACGTTTTTCACATTTTGTAAAGTTGTTCTCTAAAAACTATTAGTCTTGCTAATTCCAAAAAAATATTTTCAAATTGAAAGCACAAAAATAAATAAACAAACAGTAGACAACATCTGATTGAATGTCGATGAATGAGAAGAAGAGGGGGTGCAAGTGATTGCAAGAAGAAATTTGTCCAGCAAGAATTTGCAAACTCTCACTGAAAGAACTGTCAAAATTTCTCTCTCCAACAGCTCTCTTTTGAAGAATTTTCGGGTTAACAGACGACTTCCAGTAACAATTTGTAACAATTGTTACAAATTTTAGGGTAACCAGACACACCTAAAATCGGCAGAAGTCGGGCACACTTATGCTAGGAACACAATTGGAGCGAACGACGAATTTCGCCCTACGCGGCGACAAAATGAGCCGCGAAAATTCGTCGTATGGAACACAATACCGACGAAATTATAAAACAGCTGATGAAGTTGTTTACTTTTTGCTCATTTGTTGACTACAATGAATTATACAAGAACACATAATTCTTTACGTTCTCTATTATAATTTCACTTATGTCCATCTTCTCTATTATAAATTCACTGATATCCATCTTCACTCAGGCGCAAGTACACAAATAAATAAACAAATTAATTATGTTTTTTTTATACGAGTAACAGATAGTAGAGTGACCATAACAAATTTTAAAGTAAAAAGTAACTTTATTTACTAAAACACATAAAATTCGTACAAGTATGGCCACCTTGTACTGTTTTGTTCGCCGGTCGCCGGCGTATGAAATAGAAATAAAGCTAATTGAGTTCGCGGCGACCGACGAAATTTTCGCCGGTGCCGTGATTGTGTGCACTTCCATATACACATATGTGTTTTATTTTTGACGACGAACATACGCCGCGAAAAAATTCGTCGTTCGCTCCAATTGTGTTCCTAGCATTAAGGGCTAAGTACATAATGCTAGGAACACAATTGGAGCGAACGACGAATTTCGCCCTACGCGGCGACAAAATGAGCCGCGAAAATTCGTCGTATGGAACATAATACCGACGAAATTATAAAACAGCTGATGAAGTTGTTTACTTTTTGCTCATTTGTTGACTACAATGAATTATACAAGAACACACAATTCTTTACGTTCTCTATTATAATTTCTCTTATGTCCATCTTCTCTATTATAAATTCACTGATATCCATCTTCACTCAGGCGCAAGTACACAAATAAATAAACAAATTAATTATTTTTTTTTTATACGAGTAACAGATAGTAGAGTGACCATAACAAATTTTAAAGTAAAAAGTAACTTTATTTACTAAAACACATAAAATTCGTACAAGTATGGCCACCTTGTACTGTTTTGTTCGCCGGTCGCCGGCGTATGAAATAGAAATAAAGCTAATTGAGTTCGCGGCGACCGACGAAATTTTCGCCGGTGCCGTGATTGTGTGCACTTCCATATACACATATGTGTTTTATTTTTGACGACGAACATACGCCGCGAAAAAATTCGTCGTTCGCTCCAATTGTGTTCCTAGCATAAGAAGCTTGAAGTCATTGCACGGCCTATTTTGTAACATTTCACAAAGGAATTACAGAGCCGCACTAAAATCCTGCCGTCGTTTTTCATTATAATTTGGCAGCCCTGACTTCAAGCTTTTTATGTATTTGCAGCCTTAGAAAAAAATTTTAATCAGCTGGTAGCCTTACTTTTTTTTATTGTACCATTCGTTAACCGCTTTTCCCTTTATGATATCTAAAAAAATTGCAAAACTAGTATGGGGATAGACAAGTGTGCCCTGAGTCTCAGCGAACTAGGACATTGGCGCGGTAAGTCCTTTGGACATTCTGCGGTATGTGGGGATCATCGGAGGCGGGGTCATAGCCAGCGACTACTTATCACCTAGGCTAAACTTTGAATCACTGGACATCTGGAGATCTATAACTCAAGGTAGCTCCATTTCCATGATTAAATCAGACCTAAAACTTGGGGTGGACATTACTTAAAAGCGGGGTAACGACGACATTGAATACCAATATCAAAACGAAGAAGAAGCTGAAACGGTAATAACTTGCTTTCCTACTTTTTTTCGGTGTTAGAAATATGCTTATGGGGAAGCAAATTGTACACGATTTGTTTTCATTCTCTGAAACTGAGCCAGCGGTTATTTTTCAGTTAGCCATCTTTTTTTTTTTTTTTTTGATCACACATCATTTCTATATTTTTCTGAATTTTTGAATGAACACAATGAACCAGCAGGTCTCCGAGTGGAGTGGTTTTTATAGGGCAGGAGTGCATTTTTTTACCTAACCCACATTATCAGGATTTATTGTTTAATCCAGATTTATTCAACCAGATTTGCTATCATGGGTATCATGGATCAATAAGGAAGATTGCTCAACTTCAAAGAGAGTAGAAAAATGCAACTCTGTGCTGGAGACTTATAGTGTCAAATAGACTTTTAAATATCAAACAAAATTCTTACATTGAGGAAAAACCCGCGAAACAAGAATGGAATTTTAGGGCTATACCACAAGATTAATTCTGACATAGTAGGACAATATAGTTATATAGAGGAGTTCTTCGCGAATGTAATGTAGTTTCAAAAGTTACTGAATCCACCAGGTGGTGCACTTGGAGTAAAAAAACGGAAAACAGAATTGTAACAGACGTTATATATCATGAAAATGAGTCAGTGGGCAATTCTGATGACGAGACTGAAGTAACTACTATCCATGGTACAATGATATCAAGGTAGGGCTATGATACCATATGATTTCAATTTTTTTATTTTCTTGGCTTAATATGTCATCTTTATTTTTTTATGTATGTGTTTTCTTTTCAATAACAAAAAAATTGTTCAGAAAATATTCAAATTCGGATGTTTTCAAAATGATTATTTCAACGTATGCATCGACAAAATCTAGAGTTTTTGTAGCGAAATAATCCTTTAGAGATATATAGTACATGATTTTGAAAATAAGTGTTGACCTTTCATTCAGTTATCGCGGTTTTCAATTATTTATTTAAAATAAATGCAACAAGTTGTTTGATTTTTTATTGTTTTGATACTTATTTTGACATTACAAGCCAAACAGGTAGACCTCTATACTTGCAATTTTTTCAAAGTTGACCTACCTTCTATTCATTGTACCATGCTACTATCTAAGCATCTCGAAAAAACAATACGGAATGAAGAAACTATTGAACTCTTGAAAGAGCAGTATAAACTTTTGGAACAACACAATTAAGAGTCAGGCAATGCAAATATGTTTGTTTGCTGCTTTAGCACTCGCCGCTGCACTACTAATACATTCTCCACTTCATCCTCACTTGAACTTAAGATATGTAACGCATTTATAATATCCATTTTTTCACTATATTTTTTATTTTTCCGAAAGAAACGAAATTAGAATTCAAAATACAAACAAATTTTTATCTCTTTTTGTCAATAACAAGGGAGTGTTGCCGACGTTTTTTTACGATGAGGGCGATTTTTGACGGTGAGGGCGATTTGCACACAAAGTCGACAACGACAACCGTAATTGGGCCGAATGTATTTTTATTCAAAACAATACACATACAAAGACCTAAAATGGTAAAGACCAAAGACCTAAAATGGTAAAGACTAGACAAAATGCATTTTGAGCAAAGGGTTTGTGTCTACAATACATAGAGTAACAGCTCATGGCAGATACATGTTAATATAAAAACCACAATTACAGAAACAGATAAAAAATAAAAATTTGAAAAATCCATAATTTTGGTTTCAAAATTTCACCATGGACTTTTCCGAAAAATTTGCACATTGCCTTAGCGGTTTAATCCCGTTAACATTGGTAACTATGTTGTCATGATATCGTAACAACAGAGTTATTTTCACAGGGTTACCATATCTTGACCCTGTCTTGTCCTATATTTACACTTCTATGTCTTTGACACATACTTACACAAAATGTGTACATGTTTTGACGAAATAAGGGCACCAAAACAAATTGTATTTGGGGGACAGCTTTGTTCTACCTTCTACAATTGTGCCATGGATACACCCAGACTTTGTTATGAGCGAAGCCTGAACATTTTGAATATTAAAAATTTTTGTACACCGTATTTTGTATCTTTCCCGTTTTATGTGACTGAAGGTTACAATTTCAAGAGTGGGTTTTCGTGTATTCGGCTTTCGTAAATTAATGTTTTAATTAAAAAAAAAACAACAACAAATTAATATATATTTTTCAATTCATATGAACATGTATTTATTGTCGCAAATGCAAATATATAATTCAAATCGGAATTTATTTCTTTTTCGTTAAAATTTGAATAAGTTTTCTTTTTTTTTGGAGTATGCCAAATGCAATTCAAAAATTATCGCCTACAAATATAGTTGTTATATAATAAAGATTAACTTTTTAATGGCACATATACATATAAGCCATAATCGCTTATGTATAACTGTATCAAGTGGACAAACATATGCTGGCTCGCCTGTCATGTGAGGTGATCTATTTCTTCCAAAAAATTTAAGGGGTTCACAATCGTTATTGTTTGTCGTGAGTTTAAATTTTATTTATTTTGAGAATTGGGTGCCAACTGTGCTTGAAGGGAATTCATAATTTCTATTATACGAAACTCAGAGAAAATAATAAAAAAACAAATTATTGTAAAAAATATAATTAACGTTTTTATGTCTATTATTCATACTCTTAGCATACAAAAGAAGAACATTTGTATATGACAAAAGGGAAATAAAGGGAAATTATTTAGTTTGGATGTCGTTGAATGTGATAATAATAATAATTAAGTAATGGAACAGAATAAAACAGGAATGTTGTAGATCATCCGGAATGTTTAATTATCACTTGTAATAACCAACAGATCATCCGGAATGTGGGATTTGCTTTTTCAAACGAAAAAATGGAAGATGATATTTTTAGCTTTACATGTGTCTGGTGTTGCCAAAATTGATGCCAGATTGGTTGGCACCTTTGTTGGAACCATACTGCAGAGAAATAACATTTTGGCCGGCACGCAACTGTTCTTCGGTGAAATTGCGAACATTTTTGTCAGCTTCCTTGGGACCAATTGAGGGTTTGTTAAAGTTGTGAGCCTAAATAGAAAATACATACAATGAAGGAAGTGTCTCATTTTTTATTTGAGTGTATATCTCACCTTACGACCCAAAGATTGAATGCAGATAACAACCGAGTTCAGGTTTTGTCTTTCCCAAAGATCTACACTCTGGAATGTCTCTTGGGTGGGTACACCAAAGTTCTTGGCACATTCCAAAAAGGCTGGAAAAATGATATTTAATTTCAAATTTATTTCTTAATTGAGTGTAAATCATTAACTCACCTGAGATATTTTCCATGCATTTGAAAGCCATTTTACTTTCATTGATCTTTTTGATGCAACCAGGTTGTAGGCAATTTGCCAATTTGCACAAGAGAACACCATCCTTCAAGACTTCAAAGAAATTATCCATATCACCGGAGGTGTTGATGGGCTCACTTGTAATGACTTTGATCCATTCTAGGCATTCTTGAGCCAATTCTTCGCTGTATTTGGAATTAATCTGCAATTAAAAAACAACATTACAACAATTATATCAGTTGCAAAAAGAATTAAGTTTACTTTGGATTTGTAAGACATATTGTTTTAGTGCAATTCGGGTGGGCTGTGCAAATGCAAACTGAGAAGAAATCAAAATGTTTAATACTTTTTGTGCAAAATGCTCTTATCAGAATCTTTTCAATTATTTTTTTTTCTTTTAACAACATTTGAGATAAGATAAAAGTGCTAATGATTATTTTCTATTGTATTAATGTTTGATACATTGTGAGAGTGAATTTACAGTATATATTGGAGAAGATTGGCAGGGTAAAATGTTGAATGACAAAGAAGTAGTTCAATCACAAGTGCCAGATTCCGTAACCCTTTTTATGATTTTCATGCATGAAGTCATAATTTGTATAAGGTGATGGTACTACTCGAGGTTGGTTTATTTTTGAAATATGAACTTTTCGGTGAAGCTTGTTGGCTGCCCTTTAAATGTTTTCTGTGAAAGTAATGATCAAAAGTGTGTTGTTCGCGACCTTTCCACGAACTTTAATTTTATTGGTAGTGATATGATGAAAATCGAAGGGCTTTGCAATATGAGGAAGGAATGTCTCTTCTTCACAAGGAAGGTGCGAGAGTCCTTTTTCATTCCGATTTAAATCAATTTTAATTTGTCTAGGTGTGGTTTGTAGTAAGTTAGTTATCTACTCTATTCACATTGACATTGATATAGACAGAATAGATTTTAGGGATATGCAGGAAAATTATTACTGATTTGTCGCAAGATTTTAATTCGAGAGATATATATTAGGGGTACGTTACAGGGTGTCGCCTTCCCCAGTGGGAAGGGAATTCCAACAAATAATTTTGGAATTAATGAAGTTGCGAACAATGAGATGGATGCATCAATTTTTTAGAGATATAATTAGAATTTATCCACAAGATGTATTGGAAGCCTTGCTAACCCTACAACAATTAGGTGTCATTATCCAGTCACATTACATTTGTGGAAGGGGTGCACTGATATATCCTATCTTCACACCAGACTTGGGTTAATAAAAATATTGTGATGTGTGTAATTTGAGGAGAACCAGCTGCTTATTTCGGATTTTATGATCGTTTTTGATATTCAAAACTTTGACCCTTTTGGGGAGGTGCCAGAAGGAATGTTTCGATCTTTACCATCTTCATAACAGATCTTATGTTGAAAGAAATATTGAAATGTGCCTAGTCTGAATGGAATCAGATGTTAATTTCGCGTTGCATGAGCTTCATGGATGTTCAAAATTTTAACCCTTTGTGGGGGAGGTACCGGAAGGCGTGGACCGGTACATTCCATCTTCATCCCAGATCTTGGGTTAATAAAAAGATTGTAATGTGTGTAATTTGAAGACAATTGGACACTTACATAACATTTTATAAGATTTATAATTATTCAAAATTTCGACCCTTTGTGGGGAAGGTACTGGACAGAGTGGACCGATATTGTCCATTTTTACACCTGGCTTAGCACTGATGCAAATATTAAGATTTGCAAATTTGAAGCAAAATCAATTATCTTTTCTCTTTCTGTGCAGTAAATTATTTTCTTTGAAAATGTTTACATTTTGTGGTGGAGGTGTCAGAAGGAGTGGACCGATATTGCCCATCGCCGAACTCGAGCTAAGTTTGACAATAATATTAAGATGTACCAAGCTTGGATCAAATCGCATACTCCCTTCGTGATTTATGGTGTGTCCCAGCCAGCCAGACAGACGGACGGACGGACGGACATCGCTAGATCGACTCCAAATGTGCTGAAACGGATGTCGTCCAAAGAGACCTAGTGTCTAAAATCGTTATTTCGATGAGAAACGTTTTGACCGTATAAAATTATATATACCCTCTTTCTAGCCATATGGCTAAGGGTATAAATTAAGAAATGTAATATTGTCCAAATTTTTTTTATCAAAAACTCGGGCTAATGCGAGAGGAGAAGTGTATTCAAACTCATGCCACTTCCTCCATCGGGTTAAAAAACTTCAAGTGGTTATAGCCAAACATTGATATTCATCACATGATTTAGATAAATCATTTCCATGGTACAATAAAGAGGTAAGGTAAGGTGGAGCTACCAGCTGATTACAATTTTTCTCTAAGTGTGCCCGACTTCTGCCAAATTTGTGTAGGTATTTTTTTTTTTTTTTTTTTTTTTTTTTGAAAAACAAAAACGAAATATGTTCAAAATCAATGATTGGAAGAAACGTACATTGCAGGGCGCACATTAAAGCTAGTAACCATTTTTGCCATGGAATTGGAAGATTGATCAATTTAGATCATATTTTTGAAAGAAAATCCATTTATATTTCACGTTTTTTAATAAATATTCAAAATAATGCAAAATATTAAATAAATTAGAGCCACCTGTTGTGTCTACTTTTCAATAATTCTGACAGAAAGCGGGCATAGCCTGAGGGGTGTAATTCTGTACTTTTACGAAGCTGTTCTACCTCCTTTTTGTACCATGATCATTTCTTAGTGAGATCGAATCGTAGTCTATAAACAAAAAATTTTTTACATTCTTCCCAATTCTGGAGCAGAGCAAAAGAAAGCAAAACTGGAAGCTACGCTGTCAAAATGAGCTTTTGTAATTAAATTTAAATTTGCACGTTTTTCGGTTAACATAAAAAAGCAATTCTTGACATGAAAAAAATGAACATTTATTTCATTCGCTGCGGCGAAAATTTGACTGACCCGTTTATAGAACTGCATGTCCTTTAATAGTTTTTGATCTGTTCCAGAAAAATTTGCATTTTTTTATTTTGTTGCATGGTATCGTTAATTGATTAGGATACTTGTGACAAATGAGTGAATTTTATGGAAATTGTTTACTAACAACTATACCCATATGTATGAAAAAACAAACTAGCACTTAACACTTGTGTAATCCAATTTGTTTTGTCAAGAGTGTATTAATAATTTTCTATTAATGAGTATGATCTCATATTACCAATGATCCCTCCACTCTGTTCATTTCGCAACATATGTATGCATGGTATTTATAAAAAATGTTTGATACACAAATGGTGGAGGGATTTGACAACCATTGGACTTGTGATGGCGCTTATCGGTATATACATTTTGGACTGGATGAAACGGTTGTGTTATCGCTTCAAATAACAAATTTACTCAATAACATTAGGGTGGTTGGTTTATTATTGTATCAACGATTTATTTGGCAACAAACTATTAAACAAATAAATCCTACATGTTATTAATAATATTATAGCTTATATATTATAGTTTATATGGGAAGTCTCATTTTTTAATGAGTCATAATTATGTGTAACCACATTAAAACATTTTCGAGGTCAATTTAATGAAATCACTGCCGTTTTTATTTGGAATATTTTTAAAATTTTAACGTATATCAAAAGTGAGAAATCAAGGTTTTCAAGACTCTCTCTCTCCTTATCATTAAAAAAAGAACAAAACAAACACGACAAAATTTGTTCTACAATATGCGATAAAAAAATTCATAATAAAAAAGTGTGTTCTTATGGGAAAAGTATGTTTCGTGTTGACAACAACTGATAATGGTGTTTGTAATGAAATATTTCCAGTCATTTATTGTTGTTGTTGTCGCTTTTTCGTTAAATGAAAAGAAAACACTTTCAATTGTACCTAAATGACAATTACGTACAGATGTGCATGACCATAACAAATATATCATGTATGAATGAGTGTGTGTAGCATGTACTAAACTAATTTGTTAATTTGAGTATTGGTATGAGCAGTCGGTAATGTATTACGTTAAATTTTCCGGTAAATTACCGTTGTGCTAGTTCCCATTAAGTCTGTTACAGGTTGAACGCACATCTTAACTTAGAATTTTTTAATTAAATTAAAAGTTCTTGAATTGGTGTTTGGTGTTATGATCAAGTTTATCACTTGTTATAAAAATAGTTACATACGTAAAACAAATTATATGTTTATGGGCCTTTTTCGTTTGTATATAAAGTCATCAAATTTTACCCCTTCTCGAGAGGCATTTTGGGAAATGAAGGATTTCTTAAAATCAGAAATGCAAAGGCTTGGTAGTTATATTCTACATAGCTTCCATATATATCTTTAAGCGATTTCAAGTTAATTGTGCACCAAATGGATAACACAAGCCCGAATTGAAAAGGCACAAAAGTCTCAACTCCATTCAGAGGAGGATATTCCTCTCATATATTTGTTACTTTGGACTATAATAACTATAATCATAGTTGATCTAATCTAATTCTCGCAAATTCCGGATTAAAATTTTTATTTGTTATGTGAAGCTCTACTAAATATGCAAACAAAGACCTAAAATGGTAAAGACTAGACAAAATGCATTTTGAGCAAATGGTTTGTGTCTACAATACATAGGGTAACGCTCATGGCAGAGACATGTTAATATAAAAACCACAGTTACAGAAACGAATAACAAATAAAATTTTGAAAAATTCAAAATTTTGGTTTCGAAATTTTATTCCATAGACCTTTCCAAAAATTTGCATATTGCTTTAGCGGTTTAAATCAGTTAACATTGGTAACTATGTTGTTATGATATCGTAACAACAGAGGTATTTTCACAGGGTTGCCATGTTTTGACTCTGTCTTGTCCTATCTTTACACTTCTATGTCTTTGATGCAAAGTGGTGTAGGGTATAATAAAGTCGGCCCGACCGACGTTAAGACTTTCTTTACTGGTTTTAAGAGGGTTTATTACAAACAATGCAAGTGCATTACAACCAATGCAAGTGCATGTTGTTCATTCCAATATTTTCAATCTTCACACCAGATCTTGTGTTAATGGAAAATTGATATGTGCCGAGTTTGGTAATAATTGGATGTTCAGTTCGCGTTTTACGATTTTCATATTTATACAACATTTTGACCCGTTGTGGGCGAGGTACAAGAAGTAGTATACCGGTATATCCCATCTTCACACCAGATCTTTTGTTAAAAAAATATTGGAAGGTGTGAAGATTGAAGACAATAGGACTC